TTTGCCTGAGACTTTCCTGGTTTTAGCACTTAAAGTTGGGCGGCCTTGGCAGTCCCTCAGTCCTGGGCAAACTGGGATGACTGCTCATCCTGGTAAAGGCGAAAGAGCAAAACCAGTGACGAGGCTACTGCCATCATCCAGGGAGAGGAGGGTTGCTGGGAGATGGTCTGACTCAGGACAAGACTTGCTGACAGGACTTCCCTGGTGGCGCAGTGGTTAAGAATCCACCTGCCAATGCCGGGGACACGGGTTCGAGCCCCGGTCCAGGAAGATCCCACATGCCATGGAGCAACTAAGCCCGTGAGCCACAACTACTGAGCCTGCGCTCTAGCACCTACGAGCCACAGCTACTGAGCCCAAGTGCCACAACTACTGAAGCCCGCGTGCCTTGAGCCTGTGCTCTGCAACATGAGAAGCCCGGGCACCGCAACAAAGAGTAGCCCCCACTCGCCACAACTAGAGAAAGCTTGTGTGTAGCAACGAAGAACCAACGCAACCAAAAATAAATAAAATAATAATAAAAAAAGACTTGCTGACGGAGGGTGTGAGAGAAGGAAGACTCAGAGGTGACTCCAAGGTTTTTGTATCAGCAGCTGGAAGGACGAGGTTGTCATTTGCTAAGATGTGGGAGGAGGGGAGGGCGGTTTGATTTGGGACATGCCCTGAGAGGATGTGTCATTCCCTGGGAGGGTGACTGCTTGGGAGAAGGTCAAGAGCGGCCGTCCTCCATCTACGTGGACACAGAGACCCTGTTCCCCTCTGGGGGACTCAGGGCCCTGCCAGTCTGGCTGGAGACTTAGGAATGATTGAAAGTATCTCCACCCCCTCACTGTTTCACTTTTAAATATGTTTTCTTAGAAATCCAAATGCCAGCAGGCACCCCCTTCCCAAGCCCAGGGTCTTAGTGGTTAAAAAGAATCTCCCCTGCAACCAGAGCACTAAGATGTTTATTGCAGTGTTGTTTATAATAATGGAAAATGCTAACAGCAATAGAATAGCTGAATAGATTATGGTAAAACCACCAGACAGAAAAGTTTCAAGATAATACCATAAATTGAAAATATTAAGTAACATTTATTAAGTACTTACTATGTGGCAGGCACTGCTAAAATTTTTACATGATATCCTCCCAACAGCCTTGTGAAGTAGGGATTATCAGCAAGGAAACTGAGCCTTAGAGAAGTTAAATAACTCACTCAAGGTCACACATCTAGGTAAGTGTCTGAGTCTGGACATGAACCCCGGCTGTACATCTTCAATCTGTTTATAAAATAATGTTATATAAAAACACACAAAGAGGGACTTCCCTGGTGGCACAGTAGATAAGCCTCCGCGCTCCCAATTCAGGGGGCCCAGGTTCGATACCTGGTCAGGGAACTAGACCCCACATGCCACAACTAAGAGTTCACATGCCGCAACTAAGAATTCACATGCCACAACTAAGGAGCCTGTGTGCCACAACTAAGGAGACCACATTTTGCAACTAAGGAGCCAATGAGCCACAACTAAGACCCAGTGCAACCAAATAAATAAATAAATAAATAAATAAAATAAATAAAATCACACAAACAACAGTAAGGAAAATAGCCAAGAAGTGCTAACATTTATTTTCTGAGCACTTATGATATGCCATGCTTGTGCTTGGTGCTTGACATATGTTGTCCTTTTTAAACCTATTTGAAAAATGAAATGAAAAGACCTCCTTTGATTTTTATAGTCCCTGTAAAGTAGGTACTATTACCATTATATCCATTTTGCAGATGAGGAAAATGAGACTCAGAGGGGACACAACACCCGCCCAAGGTCCCACAGCTGGGAAGTGGCAAGACCAAGTTTGTACTCAGCCACTTTATCCGTCATGCCCTTTGATGGGTCCTCTTGGGATGGTGGGTTTTATAGGTACTATTTTCTTTTTCTCTTTTCTACAAACTTTCGGGAATGTATACGTCTATAATCTAAAAATGGAATTAAATTTAAAAAGAATTCCACAGCACCTGTAAGATTTTTCAGAATCCGAGTCTCTTCCTGGAGTGCAGACTTTTGAGACACCAAATCAGATAGTGGTCATCCCTGCTTTGCATAAAACCATGGGGATTCTAGAGCCAGCAAGTCACAACTACTGAGCCTGTGAGCCTAGAGCCCATTCTCTGCAACAAGAGAAGCCACTGCAATGAGAAACCTGCACAATGCAACGAAGAGTAGCCCCCACTCACCGCAACTAGAGAAAGCCTGTGTGCAGCAACGAAGACCCAATGCAGTCAAAAATAAATAAATTAATTTAAAAAAAGACCTTATTAGACTTTAGGAATGATTTTTGCAAGTCTCCTCCACCCCATCATGAATCATTGTAAAAGTATCACATTATCTATGATTTTATATATATATACATGATTTTTAATATTGCATTTGAAATGGATTGTTGGTTTCAATACCATAGTTTTTTTTTTGGTTTTTTTCTGAACTTCGGAAGCAATGCACTCTTTTTCAGGCCTCAGACATTTCCATGAGTCTTACAAAACTATTAGGCCCTGGGCCCTGTATCTGTTGTCCCCAGTGTACAAGGTGGGCCTGATGACTCCTTTGGTGAAGAAGGAGGAGGGCCAGGAGACTTTTGCCTGCCCAGGCACAGGGAGCAGAGCTGAGCTCTCAGAATTAAAACTAGAGGGTGTGCTGTGCCACTGGTCCTCCACTCAAGGAGGACCAGCCAGGAGGGGACAGGATCTGTTTTCACATTGTTCTGTTTCAAATGTCCTGGCCCCAGACCTGCACTTTCCTGCAGAGGACAGCAGCTGAGGGGACGCTGGGGCAGGCAGGGGAAGGACACAGCCACACCCCTGGTCTCTTCTCCCTTCCATGGTGAAAGGGGACTTTCAGGACACCCCAGGGACCAAATTCAAAGTAACTGCTGCTTGGCTTTGCTGAGTGCTTATGCATATTCTCATATTCTCTCATTTTAAACCTCACAATAACCATAAAAGCTGGGGGGCGCTGTTGTCCCCATTTTACAGATGAGGAAACAGGCACAGAGTAAGTTCACCCAGCTAGTGGGCACTGGAGCTGGAATTCCAACCCAGGTCTGTGCCCTCAACTTCTCACTGGATCTGATGCTAAATTTATTCATAGTCTTAATAATTAATGAATAACAATGACAGCTAAGATTGGTATACCTTTTCTTAAAACTCAAAGATTATATGAATACTTTCTTACTGTAAAATATCCAAGCACTATGAATATAGAAAGCATTTTAATTTTCATGAGATTCCCCAGGTGAGGCAACTGCGTGGTAATGTTTGAGAAGCTCTGGTCCAAAGGATAAAGTGTTAAAGTGCCCAACTCCCCACACCCTCCCAGTCTCACTCCTGGCCCCGGAGGTAATTGCCAGGGACAGTGGTGTGCTGAGAGTCTTCTGGACTAGCTCTTTCTTGTTCACTGTCTTATTTGATGCTCACAACAAGCAGGGCAGACGTCAAACACCCTCAGGCCAGCTGGCTTGCCCAGAGAGCCTGGATTAGAAACCCGATAACCTGCCTCCCTCTCCAGGAGGTGCCCATCCTCTTCTCCATGACATGATAATTAGAGCTTAATTCCTCACATTCTGTGACCAACTCCATAGAAGCCTGTGGCTCCCATCTTTTATGGGTAACATAGATGTATTATAAAAGACTTCTGGGGGCTCTGAGTCAACATTGTGTCTCAGCTTTGCAGTCAGAGAGGTTGGGTTCGAGCCTCAGTTTCCTCATCTGTGAAATGGGCATAAGAATCCCACCTCACAGAATGGTTGCAAGGATGAAATGAGATGAGCATGTGAAGGGCACCTGGCTAACATTCTTTGAGTGCTTACCAGTCCAATCATCCTCCCCACAGCCTTGCTCATTCATCAACTATATGGGCATCTTCCACATCCCAGGCACTGTTCTGGGTGCTGAGGACACAGGGATGAACAAGACAGGCTTTATGCCCTCATGGGACTGACACTAAAGAAGGGGAAGATGGCTGACACGCAAGCCAACAAGATAAGTTCATATGTGAGAGTGCTCTGAAGAAAATAAAACTGGGGGAGTCACATAGCTAGTGACCAGAAGGGTGGGAGGAAGTGGAACTTGAGCAAAGGTAGTCGGGGGGGCTTCTCTGAGGAGGTGACCTTCGAGCTGAGGCCTGAATAAAGAGGAGAAAGCAGCTGTGCGATGACCTGGGGAGGACTGGGGAAGGTGGCAGAGGAGCCAGGAAAGAGGCCCTGTGAGGAGAGCGGGTGGGTGGGGTTGGGCAAAGCAGCAGAGGAGGGAGCTGTGATCAGACTCCACAATGAAGGCACTGCAGCCTGAGGTGGAGCCCCTGCCTGGATCTCTGGCTCTCTCTGCCATTCTTTTCTTTTTCTTTTTAATTAATTAATTAATTAATTTATGGCTTGCGTGCAGCCTTTCTTTTTAATTGCGGCGAGCGGGGGCTACTCTTCATTGCGGTGCACAGGCCTCTCGTTACGGTGGCTTCTCTTGCTGTGGAGCACGGGCTTTAGGCGCGCGGGCTTCAGTAGTTGTGGCACGTGGGCTCAGTAGTTGTGGCACAGGGGCACTAGAGCGCAGGCTCAGTAGCTGTGGCACGCGGGCTTAGTTGCTCCACGGCATGTGGGATCTTCCCGGACCGGGGCTCGAACCCGTGTCCCCTGCACTGGCAGGTGGATTCTTAACCACTGTGCCACCAGGGAAGTCCCCCAAAGAATTCTTGAGGGTCACGCAGTCCATCTCTCATGCTGCTGCTGGGGACACTGAGGTGGGGAGATAGAAAGGGCCTTGTCAAAGGTGAGAGGTCAGGGACAGAGCCAAGCCTGTTTTCTGCTCTGCTCAGGGCCTCGCTGGGCAAAACCAGGCCCTGGGTTCGGAGAAAACTTCCTTTTACCTGTGCAAGCTCCCTTCCCCCAGCCCAGGGTTCCCTTGACTCCCTCCACATCCAGGCTCGGGGAGAAACCTGCACTGAGCAGGGACTCCTCGCCTCTGCAGGGAAGTTCTGGCACGTCTCTGACCTGCACCTTGACCCGGACTACAGGGTGTCTGAAGACCCCCTCCAGGTATGCCCATCCGCTGGCTCCCAGCCGGTGCCCAATGCGGGCCCCTGGGGCAACTACCTCTGCGATTCTCCCTGGATCCTCATCAACTCCTCTGTCTACACCATGAAGGAGATCGAGCCACAGCCAGATTTCATCCTCTGGACTGGGTAAGAGCCGTCACCACAGCTACCTTTCCCCGGGCCACCGCCTGTGCCCCCTGCCTGCCTGGCACCTTCCCCACACCATCTCCCTTAGTCCTCACCAGCCCTGTTGCGGAGAGGATGAACTTGAAGCTCAAAGCTTGTCCAGGGGAGCCTGGGCCTGGCTGATTCCAGGGTCTGTGCCCTTGATCTTGTGTCTTACGGCCTCAGCAGAATATGGCTCTCACTGAGGCTGGGGACACGGTCATGGCATGTCTGGGCATGTGGGGAACTCCCGGATTTTTAGTTGGGGGTGGGCGTGGGGGTCGCTGAACACTGGTGCCACTCCCAGCGGGGTTTGGGGACTGCAAGCCCCAGAGATCCAAATACAGGGAGGGGAGAAGGTAGAAGGGCTGAAGGTGAGCCAGCATTGGGACCAAATGTCCTGGTCAGCTGCAGGCCAACCCCGGCTGCCCTGGCCCTGGGGATCCTCACTGGTCAGAGCGCTACTCTGTGTGGAGAGAGCTTGAGGGGTGATTTCAGCTCAGCCACGGAGATGCCATTCCTGCTGCTCATCCATGGATGTTGCTGGAAGTCCTCTGAGTTCCCTCAGCACTCGAGGTCCTTCCTTCACTCATTCGCTCCTTCCCTCCCTCCCTTGGTAGGTCAGCCTGTCTTGTGCTCACCCCCAGGAGACGGGGGGAACAGAGCTGATAGGGACCTGGACCCTCCTTCAGGGAGCTCGTGGTCTCCCAGGCGACACAGACAAGGCCACTGACCATTATATCCCAGCGAGGAGAGAGGGTCACTGGGTGGATGGGGGAGCTTCCCAGGGCACCTGACTCCCTCTGGTGGGATTGGGGAGGACTTCCTGCAGGAAGCGGTGAACCAGGGAGCGGGTGAGGAGTGCTGGCAGGAGCTCGGGCTGCTTGTGTCCTCCTCCAGCCTCTATGGACACTTCTGTAGGGAAGGCGGGATCAAACCCATGGCGTCCCCAGCTGTCCCTCAGTGTGACATGGAAGCGATCGGAATGACCCTCAGATGGACTATGTGGTCAGCAGGGGGAGGGGCAAGGCTGGACACTTAAGAAACGTGACAGTGTCTCAGGAGGGGCCTGGGCAGCTCTGGCTTCCCTGGGCTCAGGAATCCATCTAAGGAGAGAGTGAGATTTAGGCCACGACCCTGGCCTCCTGCTGTCTGAGGAGGGGCCCTTGGAGAAATGCGTAACATTCTAAAAGATTTGATCCCTCTGGGAAATTCATGACCCTTTAACAGAAGCATGATTTTTCTGGGAAATCTCTGGGACTTGCAGAGGTGTATGGCATTGGACAAGATGACCTCTAGGACCCTTCATAATTCTTCAGTTTCTAAGAAATTGGACCTCTCTGGGAGAATTGCAGTCCCTTGGGGGATAACCTGTAGAAATTGGATGTGTTTTTGCAGTCCCCTGAGGGATAACCTGTAGAAATTGGATGTGTTTTCTATCACACAGAATTAAATGCTCCAAACTAGAAAAAAAAAAGGAATTTTGTTCTATCTTCGTATTCCTGGTCTGTCCCCAGGGAGGACAGGGCTAAAAGGCCCCTCTTACTGCCCTAATGAGGGAATCAGAGTCACAGTAGGATGTAATGGATGTGAGCACAGACTCTGGAGCCAGGCTGACTGGTTCAAACTCTGACTCCACCACTGTCTAGGTGTATATATTAGGCAGGATCCTTCACCTTTCTGTGCCTTGGCTCCTTTGTCTGTCAAATGGCACTAACAATAGAACCTATGTTGTAGGGTTATTATGAAGAACAAATTAGTGGATAAGGGTACAATACACAGAAAGTACCCAGCACAAGGTGAGCCAGTGTGGGCTGCCAGTAGCGGTCTCAGGGCGATTCAGCTAATTAACTTCCCTGGGGAGTCTCTGGGCAGCAGCTGCCTCGCCCCGTCGGTCCAGCAGAGTCCTCAGGCTTTAGCTGTGAGGGCTCTTAGCACCCCGCAAACCTCCTTGCCCACTTCATCCCCCACCTTGCTGCATCTTTCTAAGGTTGATCCAGGAATTTAGGTCTGTCAAACGTGGGGGATTAAATGGTCCTGGGGTAGGTCCTCGACCTACCAGAGTAGATCTGAATTCTATATTCTGAAGCCAGCTCCAAACTCCTTAGAACCCTTGGGGAAGCTCAGAACTCAGACATGGCTTCTTCATCCCAAGCTCCCCAGGGGCTTGCAGATGAGACTGGAAACCCAGAGCTTCCCTCTCAAGACCATGTTAACTGCAACCTAGCAGCTACTACATTTTATATATATATTTTCCCCCCTTTATTGAAGTCCCATAAATACTCTGTGTGTAGATACCATTATTGTCCCTATTTTATAGATGAGCTAATAGAAGCTCAGAGAGGTTAAACAACCAGCCCAGGGACTCACAGCCGGTCAATGGCAGAGCCTGGGTTTGGACTTTGTCCCACGTGACTCCCAACTCCAGCCTGGTCATTCCCCTTCAGCAGCTGTCTGAGGCTCAGTTCTGCAGTCTCTTTTCTTGTGGTAGAGCCGTCCCTTCTTTTCCTTGTGCCACTTCCCGAGCTGCCCGGCGGTGTTTTGCAGCGATGACACGCCCCACGTGCCCAACGAGAACCTGGGAGAGGAGGCCGTGCTGCAAATTGTGGAGAACCTGACCAAGCTCATCAGAGAGGCCTTTCCAGGTAAGACTGTGCCCCAGGTCCCCACAGCACTCCCTGATGCCCAGGCGGTGCCTGGCACAGTGGGACGACAATGGCAGCAAGATGCAGAGGAACGACCTTCACCCGTGGACAACGATGGCTGCTGGCCAAGTCCCGGGCCAGGCACTTCACAGCGATTGTGTCTTACCTTCCAACAACCCTGTAAGGAACATGAGAGTTTGTCGGCCTGTGGATACACATAGAATCCTGTTAATGGTGTTAAAAAACCAAATTCAACTGAGTAAATCTGAAGATCTATTTGGCTGTATTCAACAATCACGAATCAGGCAACATCCCGTCTAGCAAATAGAAAGGAGCTCCAGGAACTTCCCTGGCGGTCCAGTGGTTAAGACTCTGCGCTTCCACTGCATGGGGCGTGGGTTCGATCCCTGGTCGGGGAACTAAGATTCCGCATCCTGTGCAGTGTGGCCAAAAAGAAAAAAAAGAAAAAAAAAAAAGAAAGGCACTCCAAGGAGCTGTACGAATGGAAGGTTTTATAAACAGAAGGCGGTGGAAAAAGGAAGATTCTAGCAAAAAGTGGATTGTTTCAGGCAAGGTTACCTTCATTTAGGGGAAGGGGTGGTGTCTATCAGGCAGATTTCCTCACTAGTGCTGACCAGGTAATTCCAGATTGACTGTTTAAAGGTCACATTCTTGGGAGAGGCTGAAACTTCAGTTAGGTTAGGTATTAACTTGGTTAATACCTAACTTGGTTTGCTGACCTGGGACTTAGCACAAGTAACTCCATTTTGAGCCTGTTGTTTCTTTTTTAATAATGGAAATGCCTGACGTTTCACTGGCTTCTGTCCTGACAGTTTAACACCAGACTCACAGCCCCTTCTCAAGGCATTTACTGTTATATTTAGGCATCTTCCCTGGGTGAGTCTCACGTGTGCTCACACACAGCCCTTGCGTCCTGCTGTGGCTCTGGAATTGCTATCTACTGCCTTTAAACCGTCCCAGCTGCTGGGACTTTGGGGAGATGCTGATTTCCAGCCAAAGTGCTGTTTCGTGGTGCAATCCAAGGCCTTCAGAGCGTGGGAGAGCAGGCCAGGACTATGAGTGATTATGATAGCAGCCCCACGGGACTTGACAGGGAGAACGTAGCCTGGGTGCTCCATCTAATGGCCCTTGAAAATGGCTTTAATCAGACTGTGCCAAACACAGGGTCCTGGGGGCTGAATCAGGCTCTCAGCCCGCCAGCTGGACACCTGTGAAAGCAGACTCCTAGGATCCCCCCCCATCCCCCAATCTCCTTTGGGTTCCAGCACAGCTGCTTCCTCTAAGGGTCTTGGTCATGGGTCCCCAGGACCCAGATATGAAATAATGATAATAAAAATAAGTAATAGCAGCGGCAAGAACCACTATATGTATCCATGTATCAAGGGCTAAGTGTCAGGCACTCCTCTAAGAATATTATATGCCTCAGCTCATTCGCTGTCAGGAACGAGACTCAGGAGACGCATGGAGAGTGAAGCTGTCTCACGTTTTTACTGATGACAAATGTGAGCCTTGGGGTAAGGAAACAGGCAAGGTTGAGGATGCAGATCCTGGTTTGAGGACATCTCTTACCTATCACTCCTACTGCCACTCCAGGAGGGGCCCCCGAGCTGCTGTTACCATCCCACATCTGTCCCCGAGGCAACCTCATTTCTGACACCTCCTTCCCTCAGCGTAAATCAGTTTGTGCAAAGAAGTTGCCTTGATGCCTCTAGTCTATGTAACTCAACCCAACCCAACCCAACCCAGATATGCTTGGGCTAGTTCATCTTCCAGCAGAAGTCGCTACTAGGTTCAAACCAGGACACTCTCCCCCATGGCAACAATAGGTATCATTACCCCCAGTGTATAGATAAGGAACCTATGGCTCAAAGCTAGTCAGTTCCTAGGGAGGGATTCAAACTCAGATCCAACACTGAGCACTCTTTTCTCTGCTCCACATGGGGCTTCAGGAATAAAAGTGAAATAATGGATAAGAAAATGCTTTATTACTATGACTTAACATACAAGTGTAAATAAGATTTTACAGTTTATAACATGCTTGCACATTTATTGAATTTCCTAAATCCAAGATACCATTGGCTGTAAGATGTTTCATTATTTTATGTATTGCTAAGAAAAAAAATGCTCTCTGGGGAATTCCCTGGTGGTCCAGTGGTTAGGACTCAGACCTTTCACTGCAGGGGGCGCGGGTTCAATCCCTGGTTGGGGAACTAAGATCCTTTAAGTTGCATGGCGTGGCCAAAAGAAAAAAAAGAAAAAAAAATTGCTGTCCATTAAAGTATGACACAGAACTTTCTCATGGCCTTAATGGTAAGACACATCCCACTTATAGAGATGTTAAAATATGAACACATTGGAAGAGGTGAAATGAGGCATTATCTTATTTGAGAATGGTAGCAACACACGTCAAGCAGAACACTCCCTATCATAGAGATAAATAAGCTGAAGCAACTTGTTGGAGAAGAGGAAGGGACTGAAATTTGAGCTTTTGGTTCCATGTCATGAGTTCTTCCTGCCACGTGCACCTGTGTCCCCCCCATCAGAGTCACTGTGAACACTGGTCCCTGTCTTTCCACCGATGGTAAACACAGGTGTGCAAGGCAAACTGGTCCAGGTCCCAATTCAGGTCCTGCCACGCTCTAGCTGGGCCATCCTCTGGACACTCAGTGTTCTCCCTGTGCAAAATGAGGAAAATAATGGTACCTGACCAAAGGGTTGTTATGAGGATTAAATAAGGTAATCTATACATTCATTTAGTCAGTCAACAAATATTTGAGTGTCCTCTACGGGTGAGACAGCACGCTAGGGGTAGGGGATGTGGCCGTGAACAAGATGCCAGGTCATGCCCTCATGGAGCTTAGGCTTGTAAGGATCTCCTAACAGTGCCCGACACATGGAAGTGGCAAAAACCTGTTACCCTAAACCTGGGTTTGCCTCTTGGTGGGTGTCAAGCCAAAAGACACAACCAAGCCAAAGATCAGGAGAAGGAAGGATTGATTACTTGCAACAAGTAAGGAGAAAACCAGGGATCTTTCCAAATCAGTGTGTCCTTGAACAGCAAAACTGGGGAAGCTTTAAGCTAAGAATATATGCATATTCATGAAGGGGCTTGAGCAGGAGAATGCAACTTAGAATTGGGGCAAAGGTTGACAGAGTCCGAACTTTAGTTGATTGAAGTCACAAGGGTCAGCAAAGGTCAGCATCATCATTCCTTAGGTTCCAGTTGATCTCATGGTTGAGGGGGTTTAAATTCTGCCAAACAGCTCAAGACAGTGCTTCAGGCTAATCTTTACCATTGAAACAGAACTGGGAGTCTTTACAACTGATTTATTATCTTTGCCCTTGTTACTTCTCTTGCCTGATAACAGTAGTTTGTTCTTTTGTTCCCTTAAGATCATTGTTACTGAGATCTGTTCAAGGGCAAGCACTGTAGCCAGGCTCAGATCCCAAAATGGCTTAGGCCAAAAATGGCTTCTCTTATGTCTCTGGGCACCTCCCACCTTATCTGCTTATAAACCGGGAGAGATAACCTCCCTTCTCATCTGCCTTTGGGATGCCAGGGATTTGTGTTTTCTCTTAAATGAATTCTTTTTTTTTTTTTTAAATAAATATCAGAGCTGTATTTAATTCTGTTGTTTATTTATTCATTTTTGGCTGCACTGGGTCTTCGTTGCTGCGCGCAGGCTTTCTCTAGTTGCAGTGAGGGGGTGGGGCTCATGGCAGTGAGCAGGCTTCTCATTGCGGTGGCTTCTCTTGTTGCAGAGCACAGGCTCTAAGCATGCAGGCTCAGTAGTTGTGGCTTGTGGGCTCTAGAGTGCAGGCTCAGTAGTTGTGCACGGGCCTAGTTGCTCCGCGGCATGTGGGATCTTCCCGGACAAGGGCTTGAACCCATGTCCCCTGCATTGGCAGGCGGATTCTTAACCACTGTGCCACCAGGGAAGTCCTTAAATGAATTCTTATGGCTGCCTCCATCTATGTTAGAGAGGTGAGGTTTTCTTTCAGGCAGTCACAGCCATGACTTCTGGCTTTGTGAATAATTCCTCATGGGAATTCTACGGCCTCCTCCTTTGGCAGAGCTTAGCATTTCCAGATCTTGTAGGCTATACAGGGTAAAGGGTTTGTTAGAATCATTTTTTCAAGTAGGAATTGGAGGCGCCAGGCTTCCTCATTGGTTCAAGTTCACTCCCTGGGGTAAGCCAAGCTCATATAAGGGCAAGGCCCTGCCTTGAGCTCAGAGGAGTTTTTGTTTACTCTCAAATATTTATTGAGCAACTACTACATGCCAGACACAGATATAAAATAAAAGCAGGAGTGAGGCTACTCACAAGGAAGAAATGAGTCTGACAGGCTCCCCTCTCCCTCCTGGGTTCATTCACAGGCCACATCCTCAGGGAGGCTCTCCTGACCCCCACTCCCACCCCTGTTATACACTCCCACAGCAAGTGGCTCTTCCCTTTTTGTGACAGCCATTACTCAATGCCTATCAACCCTATTGCACTGCCAGGCCTCTGGGCCTGGGCCTGGGGGCCCAGGTCTACACGTTTGCACGTACTAGGTGCTCAATAAATATTTGTTGATTCATGAATGAGTGAAACTCCCAAGGCCTTCCAGGGTGCAGCAGACCCCTTCCCTGACAGTAAGATGGATCTGGAATTGACAAGAACAAGGCACACTGAATGACCAAGTGGCTGATCACGGATCTAAAGGTTATTTGGATCTAGCTTTCTCCTCCTCATCTCATGCTTCATTTCTGACCACGGAACTTTCTGCTGGGAATGGAGTTAGAGAACTCACTGCTCTTCCTTCCCAGATCTGAGCCAAGTTCTGCCAGATTCTGTAATGTGGTTTTCTGCTTGGCTCTGTATTTTTCCTTATCTGTGCTATAGCGCTTCCCTATTAGCTCTGATAGCCAGTGGCTGAAACTAACTCCACTAAGCACTTTTGCATATATATTCTTATATATTTCTTTTTCCTCCCAGATACTAAAGTCTATGCAGCTTTGGGAAATCATGACTTTCACCCCAAAAACCAGTTCCCGGCTGGAAGCAACAATATCTACAATCAGGTAGCAGAGCTGTGGCGACCCTGGCTCAGTTACGAATCCTTCGCTCTCTTCAAAGAAGGTACTAACACCATTTGCTACTGTAAGGAGCACTTTATGCCAAGGTCTGATCTAATTTCATCTTCACAACATCCCCATGAAATAGGGACTGATTTTATCCCCATTTTACAGATAAGGAGACTGAGGCTTGAACATACCAAGTCACTTGGCCAAGGTCACCCAGCTTAGAGGAGGCAGACTTGGGAGTAGGATCCAGGGCTGATTCCAACGCCCATGTTCTTAACTCTACAGCACTAGTGAGGATCATAAGAGAATATTCACTGAGCATTTCCTGTGTGCCCGGAACTGCCCTCAGCACACTGCTAGACTCCTTACAACAATCCCAGGTAGGGGCAGTGGCCTTCAGTTCAGGCCAGGTTTCTCGACCTTGCCACTGTTGACATTTGGGGCTGGATAATTCTTTGTTGGGGGGCTGTCTTGTACATTGTAGGGTGCTTAGCAGTATCCCTGGCCTCTATCCACTAGTTGCTAGTAACACCTCCAGGTGTGAAAACCAAAAATGTCTCTGGACGTTGCCAAGTGTTCCCTTGGGGACAAAATCACCAGATTGAGAATCACTGGTTTGGAGACACAGTATGGCAAAGTGACCTGACCTCCTCTCCTTCCTTTCCTCAGTCCCTTGCTGTTGGGGCTCCCCACTGGTCAAACCCAACCAGAAGCTCACAGCACAGAAGCCCATGGATTTAACCCACAGCTCCTGGGGTAGAGAGCTGAGTGGAGAAGGGTTGACAGTGGGTCTGGAGGGGCAAACACACCTCCATGTTATTCCCATTATACGGAGGAGGAAACTGAGGCATAGAGAGGTTAAGGAACTTTCCCAAGTTGTACAGCTAGAAGTGATAGAGCCAGGACTTGAACTCAGGCAGCCTGGCTCCAGAGCCTTTGGTCTTACCCACGATGCCACTCCTATGGGAAAGATGGGAAGGGAGGACGCAAGGGAAGGAGGAGGTGGGGGAGTGAAGTGGAGGGGGACAGAGGTGTGTCTGTTAGGAGGCTGGAGTCCCCTTCAGATTCCTCCTGGCTGTGATGTCCTAGGTGCCTTCTATTCTGAGAAACTGCCGGGGCCAAGCGCGGCTGGGCGAATCGTGGTCCTCAACACCAATCTGTACTATAGCAACAACGAGCAGACGGCCGGCATGGCCGACCCTGGCCAGCAGTTCCAGTGGCTGGACGATGTGCTGACCAATGCGTCCCGAGCTGGGGAAATGGTAAGGGCTCCCCACTCCTCCTCTTCCCTCCCTGGGGTCTCTTCCCGTACAAGTCCCCCACTTTAGCACAGACTCACCCACTCACTTGAGATGCCCACATCACAGAGGGTCCTTCATCAGCTTGGCACCTGAGGGGGCTGCTTCCATCCTCACAACAGCCTGTGAGGCTGGGACCCTGGAGTCCATTGCAGATGTGAGGCTCCTGGTGGGCAGTGACAGTCTCAAGTCACACAATAAGTGGTGGGGTCTAGACTAGAACCCCAGTCTCCAGAATCCAAGGCCAGCACAGCTGCAGCCACACCGTGGGCTAGACCTCAAGGGACTGCCCTGCCCTTGAGGTGTGTCCATCTAGTCTGCTGGGCTAGCAGGTCCCCGATGACTGACGCTGTGTCTCATTTGCCTGAGTCCCTGCTCTGACCAGCGCATCCCAGCAGGATCTCACGGCCAGTGCTTTCGCCCTCACGATGCATCAGATACGTTGCTAAGTGCTTTACGTGGATGATCTCATTTAACTCTCATATCTCCACCAGTAAGGTGTCCTTCCCGATGAGAAAACTGAAGCTCAGAGAGGTGACACACAGCTGGTGTCCAGCTGCAGCTTGGTTCCAAAGCTCATGCTCTTAACTGCCCTTCCTACCACTGCCCCCGCCCCCCATTCTACCTCTTGCAACGGGGACCAAGGGCCCAGGCATTGTTAGCTGAGAGACTTGAGGAATGTAAGACGTGAACACACACTACCACACAGCATATGCTACACAACCATGCAAGGAAGGTTTGGTTACAGTGCCTGAGCTCTCCAAGAAGAGAAGACTTGTCTCTGAAGGATCAGAAACGTTTCAGGAGGACATATCCTTTGAGCTGGGTTTTGAAGCATGAGTAGCATTTACAGAAGTGAAAATGAGAAGGGCGCTCCAGGTGGCAGGCATAGGATGGGTAAAGGCACAGCGGCAGGGAAGCATGTGGCACATTCATTTCTGGGTACAGGGAGATGCCGGATCACCTGGGAGAGGGGTGGGGGAGGAGGTACCTTTGAGCCCATCTGCTTGCCCCTGGGGAGACGGGCAGGTTGTGAGAGGTAGAGATGAAGCGTTGTGGAAGGGGTCTCTGAGCCCCTGCTGGGTACCCCTTCCTCGTAGGTGTACATTATCGGCCACGTGCCCCCTGGGTTCTTTGAGAAGACGCGGAACAAAGCGTGGTTCCGGGAGGGCCCCAACCAGCAGTACCTTAAAGTGGTCCGGAAGCATCATCGAGTCATTGCAGGGCAGTTCTTCGGGCACCACCACACCGACAGCTTTCGGATGTTCTATGATGATGCAGGTACCCAACCTGGAGGGCCACGGCCAGACCAACGCCCTCTTTCCCTCGCCAGCCTCTCAGCTCCACTCTCTCTTGAAAGGTGTCCCCATCAGTGTCATGTTCCTTACACCTGGGGTCACCCCATGGAAAACCACGTTACCTGGAGTGGCCAACGGAGCCAACAATCCAGCCATCCGGCTGTTTGAATATGACCGAGACACACTGAGCCTGCAGGTCAGGAGCCTTGGGTCTGCTGGGGCCAGAGGAGGAGGGAGGAGGGACCTGATAATACCACTGCCTTCCCTAGCTGATCCACCCTCTACTGACCACTGAGACTCAGGAAGGTCAAGTTACTTCCACCCTTTTAGAGCTCAGGATCAGAAGAACCCTGGCTCTACCTCCAAATCCTGCCACCAAGTCAGGTCAATTCTCCGAATTGCCCTTTGCCCTGGATCATTGTCAAGTCGTCCTACTTGTTCTCCCCGCCTCCAGCACTGCCCTGCTGTAGCTCATCTGGTACAGCTAAGGAGGGGATTAATCTTTCTAAAGCACTTCTTGTCTCTTTCCTGCTCAAAAACCTTCAGTGGCTCCCCAGTGCTCCCAAGATAAGTTGGATCTCTTTGGCCTGGTATTCAAGGTCTCTCACAGTGTGACCTCAGGCCCACTGCCAGGTCTTCTCTACACTGACTACGCTGCAGCTAAGCAGGCCCCTAACTCAATGAGCAATCCCACACCTCCTGGGATGTGCTTGTGATTACTGAAATGACAAAGAAATATTATTCCTTAATGTATTCAACAGAACGTGTTAAGCCTCTGCCATGTGCCAGGCCCCGTGCTAAGCTCAGGAGATACATAAGCAAACAAAAGTCACTGCTCTCCTGGAGCTGACAGACAATAAACAAACACATAAAGTTAAGTGTGGCATGAAATAAGTGCTAAGGAGAAAAGAAAACAGGGTGAGGAGGCAGGTGGTGACACTTACGGGGTACATGTATATGTGTGTGGTGTTAGATGGGGCAGGGAAGTGTCACTGATAGGGTGACATTTGAATTCTGAGTAACTTCAGCGAGTGAGCCGTGGGAGCGTCTGCGGACGGGGCAGGAAGAGCACGCCAGGGGCCCAGGGTGGGAATGTGCTTGGTGTGTTAGGGGAGGAGCACGGAGGCCCACGAGGCCATGGCGGAGGTCGCGAGCGGATGGGGCATCAGGTAATGTAGGCCATGAGGACGACTCTGGAATTTTAGAAAACCACCATTCTGCTGGGTGGAGAACAGGCTGTAGGGGGCAAGGGCAGACACAGGGGGATCAGTTAGGAGGTGACCACAGCCACTGAGAGGTGATGGTGGTGTGGGCCAGGGTGGCACCCGTGGGTGGTGAGGAGAGCCAGATCCTGGATGTATTTTGAAGGCAGAGCAGACAGGATTTGCTGGTGGATTGGATGAAGGGTGGAAGAGAACGCGAGGAGGCAACGAGGGCTCCGAGGCTTTGGCCAGAGCACCTGGAAGGATGAGGTTGCCATTTACCGAAACGGGCTCACTGCAGGAGAAGCAGATTTTGGAGGAAGACCAGAAGCCTGGCTTTCCTGTTAACTTTGGGATGTCTAAGTGGCATCCAGGTGAAAATGCTGAGGGAAGAGGCAGCTGTGTATTCATGTTGGAGTTCCAGAATATGGTGGGTACAGAGATTTAATCTGGGTGTTGAGAAAGGACATTTAAAACCAGGGACTGCATGAGTTAACCTGGGTCCTCGACTCTAGAGTGAATGTATATGGAGAAGAGGTCTGAGGAGTTTTAAGAGTGTGGTCCATTGTCCACACGGGCACTCAGACCACAGGGTTCGGGGAAGACTAAATGAAATAATGTAAGGTGCCTAGCAAGAGATTGCCATCCATCCACGGCAGCTCCTCTTACCCCACCTCTCCTGACCTAAAGCAGATCTGCAAATTTAGGTGGAAAGTGTTGCACAGATAAACCCTTCCAGATTCTAGTCCTGAAAATGCACCTGAGTACTCAGGTTCTTGGGTGTAGCCCAAGCCCCCTTCAAAGCACAATTCAGCCAGGCACTCCACCGCACTGCTTTTATATTGCATTTTATCCAGTCTTCCTGCAAATATTTACTGACAGTCTTCTGGGTACCCGGGAGCTTGCTGGAACAGAAAATGCACAGGCTATGGGGTAAACAAGCTGGGTTCCAATCCTGCCTCAGCCACCTCAGTCCACCTCAGGGACCCTGGCCAAGTGAATTAACCTCTTTAGGACTCAGTTTCCTCATCTGTGAAATGGGGACAATAAGCACAGTTACCTCATCAGATTCAATCAGAGGATGTCTGCCAAGCATACCCGGCAACTAGTAAATGCTCAATAACTAAGAGCGGTCAGGATTATAGCTATTAGAATCTGGGGGCAAATGCAAGGTGGAGGATTGGGGGCGGAAGCGGACAGCTGCTCACAGCCGGGCCGCTTCGCGCGCCCCCTCTGCAGGACATGGAGACCCACTTCTTGAACCTGAGCCAGGCGAACGCGCTGGGGGCACCGCGCTGGGAGCTCGAGTACCGGGTGACCAGGGCCTACGGCGTGCCCGACGCAGGCGCCCGCTCTATGCACGCGGCGCTGGGCCGCATCGCCAGCGACCAGGACGCGCTGCAGCGCTACTACGTCTACAACTCGGTCAGTTACGACACGCTGGCCTGCGACGAGGCCTGCCAAACTGAGCACGTGTGCGCGCTGCGCGAAGTGGCCTTCGACGGGTATGCCGCCTGCCTGCGCGCCGCCGGCGTCGCGCCCGCGCCCCGCCTCGCGCTCCTGCTGGTGGCGCTGCTGGGCCTGCGCACTCTGCTTGTGCCGTGACCTTGGGCGCCGCCCGCTGATTAGCTTGGCTCGCTTTCCTCCTGGTAAAATGGGGAGAGAGAGCATCACCCCCGAGAGCTGGACTTTCCACCCTTTCCCCGGCCTCCGCAGAATGAACTGGGACGGGACAGCCGATCAGGAAATGAAGCCCCAAGGACCCCACCAGAAGCACATTTCTTTCAAGTTTCATGTTTTATCCCAAACACAATGCTCGTCGTGCATGTTATTCTGTTATTAATTTGTAAATCATGTTTAAAGTAACTCCCTTGCCCAGTTATTGAATCCCCCTCCTCCTATTCGGATAATCCGAGTAAAATGAGCTGCCAGGAAGATGCGCCTGGTTGATCCAGTGCCCTCTGTCTCCCCTGGCACACGGCCCGGACTCGGAGGCAAACTTAGCAAAGTCCCTCAGTCAGGGATCGGAACGGGCCTTGGCGTTCTGTTGTTTTGTTTTGCAACAATGCAGACGTGAGACATCGCAGTTCTAGCCCGGGCGCTAATCTCCGGGCCAGATTCGCCGTTTTGGGTCTCCAGGAGCCTCAAATGTAAAACAAGGCGCTTAGAAGCCTCCGAAGCTAAGGGCATTGCGCTCGGACGGTCCGTCTTCGGGCCTAGCGGTCCTCGGGGCCCTCGGGGCTCAGTGGGGCTGGGGTGAGAGTGCGGGGACGCCTAGGCAGGCGGCAGGGCCAGGGATCTGTGGGACCGCTGATACCCCAACCGCGGGGTCTACGGACCTCGCTCCTCCCCGGACAGGGCGGGACGGGGAAGTCCCGCCCCGCAGCCCGAGTCCTGGGCGGCCCCGAGGGCTGTGTCCGCCTCCTTCCTGCCACCGCGACCCTGGGCAGGGAGGGCGACCCTGGGCCGGGAGGGTGGGTCCGAGCCCAGAAGAGAAAGAGGGGCAGAGGCTGGCGGGTCATGCCCTGGTCGCCACGCGCCGCTCTCTTCTGGGACCTGGTCCTGGGCGTATTGGGCACCCTCGCCTTCCTGATCGACCTGGGCGCCGACCTGTGGGCCGCGAGCCAGTATGTGCTCAGCGGTCGCTACCTGTGGGCCGCGCTAGTGCTGGCGCTGTTGGGCCTCTCCTCAGTCGCGCTGCAGCTCTTCAGCTGGGTCTGGCTGCGCGCCGACCTCTCCAGCCCGCACGCGCCGAAGCCCCCTGGCCACTGCCTGGCGCTGTTGCATGTCCTGCAGCTGGGCTACCTATACAGGTGAGCGCCCTGCCCTCCGGGAGAGGGAGGGGGAACGGAAGTCAACGTCACCTCCTGCAGCTGGGCTGGTAGCGCAGGTGAGAGCCCTGACCCCGCGACGGGGGCGGAGAGGAGAGGACTGAGACCCTGAGGAGGAAACTAAGCCCCTTGTAGTTTAGCGGGCGCCTCTCCCTACAGGTGAGCTCCTGATCCCTGATGAGGGAGAAATCCGGCTGGCAGCCCTCAGAGCTCATGAACGGCACCCTTCCTGGCACAGCTGAAGAAACTGAGGCCCAGAGAGGGAAGGGAGGCACATGACTTGGAGTCGGACCCTTTGGGATCCAATCCTGGCTTTACCATCTGTGTGGCTTTATTCCTGCCTTTCTCTGAGCCTCAGTTTCCTCCTCTGTTAAAGGAGGTAGTGATCTAGAGATAGGTGTGGCTGGCAGGCCTGTGGTGAAGGGCAGGGAGGGAAGTGCCCCGCACAGTGCCTGGTGGCAACAGACCTCCCGTTGCTTTTAGCTGTGGGTGGAGCCTTGGGCAATTCACTTGACCCCTCTGGGTCTCAGTTTACTCATTGTTCCAGAGGCTCACAGTGTAAGGATTAAATGGAATGAGACCTGTAAATTGCCCTGGTGCAGAGTAGGCAGGCAGCAAGTGTCAGCTAGCTTCATGATCAGCTGGGTCACCCTGGAGTTGCAGCAGCCCTGACCCCCAGAGCAGCGCTTGTTCCCTCATGGCCAGTGCCTCCCACCCTGTCTTTCCCAGTTGTATTCTCCCTGAACACTTGCTCCCCACCCCACCCCCTCACTCCCAGACCAAGCAAGAGGGCAGAGGTGGGGTCTGACACATCCACGTCCCTGGAGCCATGTAGGGTTGGGCTCAGGCGGGGGCCCTCTAGAGATGGGGAAACTGAAACGAAGGGGTCAGAGTCATGTGAAGTCAGGACATGATGTGGTCTGGGTTGGGATGGGATGGACGGAGCCAGGATCTGCTCTTGAATCCATGTTTACAGATTCTCTCCAGATCTTGCCTTGAGTCTCCAGGAGTGGGCGAGAGGAGCTTTGAATGTTGCAGTGTTGCCTGAGGGACTGTCCAGGCATCAATAACACCTTGGGTGAACACGAAGGGGCACAGTTATTACAGTCCTGGCAGCCCGCAGTGAGCCCTGAATCTATAATTACATCATGTATCTTCTGTTTCTGCTGAGCATGAGTCAGACAGACTGTACTGAGCTTTGGTTGAGAAAACGGTGTCTCTGTTCCTGCCTGTGACTAGGCTGAGGCCTCTGCCAGGGCACTGGGGGACCTCCCCCCGCCCCGAACTCGGGCCTGCTCCCTGAGTGTGTTGTCAAGTTCATCCAGGGGAAGTGACAGTAAACATCTGATGAATGAACTTGCAATGAATGAATGGCCTCACCTTCCAATAGCCAACTGAGATCAGTTCTGGGCGGCGGGAGATCTTGGTCCATCCTCCACTGCCGCCTCATGCCAGTGGATCTCTCAGGCCTGTCTGTCCAACCTCTGGACTCTCTTAACTCTGCCCCGTCTGTTCCCATCACTCTGGGCAGGCCTGTTAAATGGATCCCTGGGTGCTCTTTCTGTAGCACAGTAGGACCTGTCTTGCCTGTGCTCAGAAGCTCTCAATGGCTTCCTTCCCCACAGGATCCTAAGAAATTCTTACACTTGCTAAAATTTGAGAATGCTCACTTTAGGCAGTTTCCCAGTACACCTTTCAAATTCAAACAGCTTTGGGTCCAAATCCTGTTTCCGCTGCTCATTTGCTCTTTGGTCCTGTTTCCGCATCTGTAAAATGGGGATATTGTAAAGGAGTAAATGGGACAAGGTTTGTGATGAGCTTGGTATGGTGGCTACCGCAGAAGTAATAGCTGTTGTATTTATCCCCACTTCACAGATGAAGAAACAAGTTCAGTGAGGTAAGTCGCTTGCCCAAGGCCTTATAGCATGTATGTGACGAGCTAGGATTTGAGCCTGTCTGCATCCACTAGATGGGTAGGGAAGGAGGAATGCCACAGGATGCTAACTGGGCCCCTTGGGGCATCGTGTGTACTGCCTAGGTGCGTGCAGGGGCTGCGGCAGGGGCTGCTGGTGTGGCGGCAGGAGGTGCCTACCCAGTTCGACTTGGCCTATGCCGACTTCCTCTCCCTGGACATCAGCATGCTGCGGCTCTTTGAGACCTTCCTGGAGATGACACCGCAGCTCACACTGGTGCTGGCCATCATGCTGCAGAGCGGCAGCGCCGAGTACTACCAGTGTGAGTGTCAGGCCCTCGGCCAGCCTCCCTTTTACACCTTGGGAAAGTTGCCCACAAGTGTCAGAAAGGTTTTCACTCTTTTATAAAGGCTGCTTAGAAAATAGGAGAATGTCCTTTAGTCGGGCAGGTCTGTGTTCAAATGCAAAGTTATGCTCTAGCCTTGAGTTTGGACAAAGGACCCCACCTCTCTGAGCTATCAGTTCTCATCTGGACAAATAAATGGATGTCATAAATGATCCTACCTCATAAGGTTAATGAAAGGTTTAAGTGAAGTGATGCCTATAAAGCCTCGTGCCTAGTGCATAATAAATCTTAAGTGTAATTTTTACAATTTTGGAGATAACAGGTGAAGTGTGTAGGGTGCCTGATGCCTAATAAGCAATTTGTTGATCAATAGATAAATTACTGAGCGCCTTTGTACATGCAGAGTGCCTTTTTTTTTTTTTTTTTTTTTCTGGTATGCGTGCCTCTCACCGTTGTGGCCTCTCCCATTGCAAAGCACAGGCTCGGGACGTGCAGGCTCAGCGGCCATGGCTCACGGGCCCAGCCGCTCCGCGGCATGTGGGATCTTCCCGGACTGGGGCACGAACCCGTGTCCCCTGCATCGGCAGGCGGACTCTCAACCACTGCGCCACCAGGGAAGCCCCGTGCCTTTGTTTTGATCAAGCACCTTTGTGCCTGTCCCTGTGTTAGGAACACCACAGTGAATAAGGAGATGGACACAGCCCCTGGCCTGCCGGGACCATAGACTGTAAAGCAGGTAGTTACAGTAAAGCATGTGGGGTGATCTGAAAAGGAAGAGGCGGGTGGCCTCATAAAACACAGGAGAGGTTTGTGCAAAGAGAAGCTTTGGGAGGGCTTTTAGGGAAGTTGCCCAAGGTCACAGGCCAGCTGGCAGCCAAGTTAGGACTCCAGCTCACATCTGATTCAGGGTCTAGGCTTCCCCTTCTCCTCCTCAGCCCTCGCACACCTGCTGCCGTACCAGGCACAGCCTCCCAAGGAGCCAGTCCCAGCTCTGCCTCCACTCTCTGCGGGACTTGGAGATCCCCTCTCTGGCCTCAGTTTCCACAGCCGTACAAGCTGGGGAGTTGGACTCAGTCTCCAAGGGCCCTTTCAGTTTGCTAATCTGAGTCTACAGTATTAATTGAAAAACAAAACAAAAACCAGTAATAGCGGCCATCACGATTGAGCGCCTGCTATCAGCCAGCACTGAGGAAAGTGCTTTATTGTCATCATCGCTCACATTCATAGCGCCTCTAGTTTGGTGCTATATTTATCTCCATTTTACACAAGAGGGAAGAGATGCCGAAAGGTGAAGCGATTTGCCCTGGGACACACAGCACTCACTGTGCGCGTACCGTTGGGCCTCTGTCTGTGAGTCCCGCATCCACAGATTCAGAGGGCTGACTCTTATGCCATTTTATATTAGGGACTTGAGCATCCGCGGATTTTGGGAACCAATCCCCTGTGGATACTGAGGGATGACTGTGCTTTTTGTTTGTCTCTTTGGAGGCAGTGGGTGTCTAGGACCAGGGCTAAATGGGGACAGTCTATGCTGTGTATGGAGGGAGTGGGGATGGGGGATTGAGGGAAGAGACAGGTGTTCCCAACTTTTGTTTAGCAAACATGTATTCAGCTGCTGTTATATGCCAGCTTCTGGGAGATTCCTGGGGAGCAGAATCTGTTTCCTACCCTGAAGGGGCTCAGAGATAAGGAAATAATTACTGTGTGATAAGACTCCAGAGAGGAATGGGGTGCTATAGGAGCTGCACAGCGGAGTGGGGTCGGGTGGGGTCCAGATGGATGTGACTATAGGGGATAATGAAGCCAGAACTTGCAGGGTAAGGAGGAGTAGGCCAGGGGAACCAGGGCCACCTAATACCAAGGGCACCGCTTGTCAGGTCAGAGAATGTGGCACGCTGGCAAACTGGAGGAACATCAGCCCTGCTGAGACCCTGAGCGTGGGGTGGTTACAAAGGCCACAGATCTGATTCCAGGCTGGGAGTGGGTTCCTGACCCATAGCAGGTCCCCAGCGAACATCTGTTGACTGAATGCAATAGGGAGGGGGCGGGGAGGAAGCAGTCTAGAGATGCTTCCAGCCCTCGTTGGAGGGCCTGGTGCTTCTAGTCCAGGATGGGCACCTAGGAGGTGGGATAGGATCCCCACTGTATACTTCGAGTCTTGGAAAATCAAAACCGGGGCCCAGTCTGAGGGTGGAAGGGAGTAGAGGCTGAACCACCCATATAACAGGGACATCCCTTTTGGCCCCGGAAGGCAGCTTCAGCTAGAGGCCTGTCGCCACCCCATGGGATTTCCTGCTTCCCCTTCTGAGACTAAGAAGGGGGAACTGGACTGCTGATTTTCAGATCCAAGAAAGGCGTGGGCTCTTCCGGGAAAGGAAGGGGTACAGGGCCCTAGAAGATGCTCAGGGTGTGGCCAAGGCCCAGGGGTGCCAGATGCTGGGTGACAGGGGTGCCGATGAGAGTGTATAAGTCACACACCTTCTCATCCGTGAAAAATATAACCGTGGTAGCACCTGAAAAGGAAAGGTCTGCGGTGAAGGGCAGACTCCATATGGATCCTAGCTCTGTTTGGGGTTGTGTGAACTTGCTGGTCTCCAGCTGTAGTTTGCAACAAATTGGGGTCCGTAATACCCACGTCAGCGTAGCTACGAGGCCTTCGCAGTACCCGTGGCCTCTGGGGAGTGCCTGCAGGCTGCCCGCAGGGCTCACCTGTCTCCTCTTCCTCTTCGTAGGGGTCAGCATCTGCACGTCCTTTGTGGGTATCTCGTGGGCACTGCTTGACTACCACCGGGCCCTGCGCACCTGCCTCCCCTCCAAGCCCCTCCTGGGGCTGGGTGCCTCCGTGATCTACTTCCTGTGGAACCTGCTGCTGCTGTGGCCCCGAGTCCTGGTCGTGGCCCTGTTCTCGGCCCTCTTCCCCCGCTGTGTGGCCCTGCACTTCTTGGGCCTGTGGCTGGTGTTGCTGTTCTGGGTGTGGCTTCAGGGCACGGACTTTATGCCAGATCCCTGCTCCGAGTGGCTGTACCGGGCGACGGTGGCCACCGTCCTTTATTTCTCCTGGTTCAACGTGGCTGAGGGCCGAACCCGAGGCCGTGCTACCATCCACCTGGCGTTCCTCCTGAATGATAGCCTTCTGCTGGTGGTCGCCTGGGTGACTCAGAGCACCTGGCTGCCCAGCGGTTGCCTGCTGCAGAGGCTGCTGCCTGCGGCCGGCGCCTGCTTCCTCCTGGGGCTGGCTCTGCGGCTGGTCTACTACCGCTGGCTGCACCCCAGCTGCCGCTGGGAGCCTGACCAGGTGGACGGGACCCGGGGTCTGCACTCCCTCGAGGGGCGTCAGCTGCCTCAGAACAGGCGCATGGCCCATTTGGCTAAGAACTTTTTCCCCAAAGGTAGGGATGAGGCTGCTTTGCCATGGAAGGGAGAGGTGAATGGTGTCCTTTGAGGCAGGGTCAGACCCACCAAGGGGACTGAAGGCCAGATGGAATCAGTTGGTAGAATGTAGAAGATAAGCTGCTTATGCTGCTGTGGGCCTTGATTCACTCAACGAGCGCTCGATGCCTGATCTGTGCCAGGCGCTGGAGACCAGAGTTGAGTAAGACAGAGGCCTGCCCTCAAGGAGGAGAACAAGATGAGAAGGGCTGGGCCCTGGAGGGTCCAGGGCCCCAATTATGTATGAAACACTTTGGGAGGAAAGAAGAGACCGCCTCTTCCCTTCCCCCCAAACAAGTATAACCCCAAAGCATCCCAGTGTTGGTATTTTTACCTCCCTGGCTACCTCTAAAATAATTGGTGGAGCTGTTGTCCCACCCTTGGTTCCCCTGTCCTGGGCTGGAAGGCCCCAGGACCTCCAGGATGTGTTCTCTGGAATTCTTCCTCCCCTGCCCCACCCCAGTCATTCAATTCATTTAGCAAATGTTTACCGAGGGCCTTTTACGTGCCAGAAGCATCATTCTAGCCTTGGCAGATCAGCTGCCATTCCAGCTTTACCCCTTACCCTCTCCAGATACTCCAGAACAGGCTCTCAGGCTGGAAGCCAGGGATGCCTGACTGCCTGTCAGCCCTGTCAGCCCCTCCAAGGCCTTAGTGCAGCTGGCCCGGCCTCTGCCTCTGCTCTCAAGGGGCGACCTTTCAACCAAGTGCCTTGTGAACCTGCGGTCTGGGCCGTGGCTCGGCCCGCTGAGTATGTTTTTGTGCTTCAGGCAGTGTACTTTCTACCTCAGTCTGTGTGGGTGGAAGAGGTGTGTGTATCTGCGTCTCTGTAAGCGAGAGACACGTGTGTTGTCTTTGTTGAACAGTATTATTAGATTATTATTAAAACCTCATGAAATCCCCTAGCCTAGTTGTGTCATTAAATCCGCCACCAAGTTCAAAGCTGCCTGGAAAAAAGGGGTCAGGGACGCAAAGTCCTCCTCTCAAAGTCGGTAAAGGCCCTGGGACCAGAGAAGAGGGCTGGCTTAGGCAAGACTTCTTAACCTTGTTTTCTAAGCGTCAGGAGCTGGTGAGCCAGTGTGGTGTTGACCGCTCAGGTGGGCATCAGAACCCAGATCTGGGCTGACTCTAGCTTGTGCTCTTAGCCGGCTCTGCTGCTGGGCCTGGCGGGAGTAGGTACACCTTTGGTATCAGGAAGTGAATACGCGAGCGCAGGTGAAGAAAGGTCTTTTTGCTGGGAGGTCACTGGGAGCGATGCAGTGATGACAGGGGATGTGGATGTGGGCAGTGGTGTTAGGGAAGTCTGTGGTTTGGAGAAAGAAGGAGCAGGGAAAGGGCACTGGAGACAGAAGGAAATCATCACCACTGGGACGGGATCAAGGAGAGTCTGTTATTCATTCATTCATCTAGTGGAGACACAGTAAACAGAGTAAGTGAAAGAATGTATCAGATAGTGTTAAGTGCTAAAAGAAAAATAAGGTAGGGAGAGTGCGTGTGTGTTGTAGGTGGGAGTTACAATTTTATATAGAATGGCCGGGAAGGCCTCCCTGAGAAACTGATATACGCCCTAAAGGAGGTGAGGATGACAGCCACGCAGATGTGCTTTATTCCAGACACCAAGTCAGCAGTGACTGGATGAAGGAGGGCTTGTAGCAGTTATACTGGCCTGGAGCCAAGGCTGACACAGAGATGAAGGTTGGGAGCAGGGAGGAACTCTGGGAAGATGATGCTGGTGCTTTTTACATACACAGAATGGTAGAGGTAGAAAGGATCTCCAGGATTACTTAGCCCAATGATTTTCAGACTTCTGAATTTCATGAACCAATATAATGGCCAACATGGTTGCCAAGTTAACTTTAATGAAAAAGGGCATAAAAACTACCACCATCTATTATCTTGTCTTATGAAAGGACATATAACCTCAGAAAAAGGATCATTTTTTTAATTGACTATAAACACACATTTGCACACACACAAAAGTGAAATCATTATTTTTCTCAACTCATAGGGAATATCAAGGGTTGAGACCTCAGAGAGCAGGCCTGGCCTTTATAAATCCCTGGGCTTAGTGTCCAACCTAGCCTCAAACATAGCTTCTAAGGGGTTCACTAAAACAAATACTTGCTCTCAACTATACTTCAATTAAAACAAAACAAAACAAAACTTGCTACATTTACTTTTCTCTACTTCTTCCTGTCATATGTGGAGACGACTAGGCTCTGGGGAGATGCCATACATGCCCAAACAGATGATGCAGTGTAGTGTCTTGGGCTATTTCCCCTGAGAAGATCCAAAGAGATGTTTAATTTTTTGGCTAAGCTCTCATCTGTATTCTCTAGATGAAATTGTCAAATAAGGGTAAAAGGTGTGTAATTTAAAAAGCTGTGGAATTTAGTGGTCGTTTCATTTGTAAATAAAGTTTACAGAATCAAGAATTTAAAAAAGATGACAGTGATGTTACTTGTAATTAGAAATTTCCTTTGAAGATTTCCATTGTTTTTTTTTTTTTTATGTCAAGAAACTTGTTTTTGAAGAATAAAAAAGCTCTTGATTTGCTCATTTTAACCTGCCACCGGAAAGGTTCTTGAGAAACGTGCAGACGTTATACCTATGGGAGGGGGAGATGGAGATGTCTACTCTTTGGGCTTAAAAACTAATAACACTCTGATACCTGTACTTCTGACCGATGAACAAGTTTGCTTCAACTATATTGTGGCTCAAAATGTGCATCTTCTGATGAAAAGATTTAATGCCTCAGAATATAAGACAACCCCCTCTTTTCTGGGGGGAATTAATTTGGGGAAAAATACATCTTATAGTCTGACACGTATGGTACTTGGAAGCTAGAACCCAATTCTAATCTCCATTGGAAAAAAAGGCAAAAGGATTCCTGACTGTTTTCCAGACCAATGAACAGTCAGACTCAAATCTAAAGAAATGAAAAGAGCAAAAGTAGTTGATGTAACATGAAAACAAGCCAGATCAAACAGTTTGGTATCAATTTGTCAGTTTTATTGCTTTTGCATTTTCAGCTCAGCACAGCAAGGTATTGATTTTTTTAATAATTAAATTTCAGCACATTTGACAGCAAATGAAATCTCTTGGCGTTCCAGTCCTAAACTTTGAAAAGTGATGTATTTTAGAAACAATTAAGAAATAAACTTTCCCTTGCAAATTATTTTAAAACATTTAGTTTCTTTTCTCATTTATTTATACCAAGTGGTTAGTTTTATTTGTTTGTTTCTTTTGGTGAAATTAATGACTCAGTTACCGAAAGGGTGGCATCTTTCTAATGAGCTCTTCTGATTTTTTATGAAGCCCTACTTAGAAGCCTACTCAGCTGGGCAACTGGGCTGATCCTACTCAGAAAAGACACAGGAGCAAACCATATAGAAAATAAAAACTTTATTTTTTCAAGTTTATAAGATAGTTCCCATTACATATAACATTATGGTCAAGGACTCTACAGCCACAAATGCCCGCAGTCACATAAATATATCTAATCAGTGCCTTTTCCTGCTAAATGAGGCATCTGAAGTCCAGAGGGTCATGTTTGGAGTAGAGGTCGTCCTTAATGGGATGGCTCCCATCAGTGCATTAGGAACTAGCTAAGTAACCTTGCTTGCTAGAGCTGTCTGACTCAGAGGAGAGGAAGGGACAGAGGGCCTGCTGATCAGAGGTGGGACAGAACTAGATTTTCTCTCGTGGTTTAAGATATTTCAAAATCTCAGAATTCAGATTTGGCCTCTACAGGGTATTTGGGGAATTCCAACTTTTGGATGAAAAAGGAAGCCAATTTAGTGGTAAGAAACAGAAGCCTGCTTAAGAGGGGTCCTAACTGCCCCCTTCCTGCAGGAGTGAGGAGGGGAAGGCCCCAAGCCCACCAGCCCTGGGCTTAGACCATGGCTCTCCCAGGAAGAGGGAGAGCGTGGCTCCGCCCCTCGGCTCCTCTCCCCCACGGTTCAGTGGCACCGACACCCATTCAAGGTAGTGAACGTCTGGAAGCTCCATATACTGCAGCTGGAGTTTGCCGATCAGATTCTGCTTGGACCTTTAACGCGAACAAGTTTTTGTAAACTGCGAACAAGCCGTGGCACAAGTCTCCTGGGACACTAGCTTTGCTCCCCCAACTCGCAGAAGACAGGAATACCCCAAACCAAATGAAAGCCCAAGTAGGCATCTGAATCTGGAGCAGGCATCCACTCTCCTGGACACCACCAGCTGCCCCAGGGGCACCGGACAGGGTGATGCTAAGGCACAGTCAGTTTTACATTCGAAAGTAAAGCCACCTCTTAAACCCAGGACACGGCTGACAACTCGATTCCCTACTAGAGACGGCCTAGCTCTCACCACGAAACGTGCAGACCCATCTTACAGAACCCACGGTGCCCAGCTGGGAAAAGGACTCATCATGTGGCTTATTCCATGGGGACTCTTTCTAGTAAAGAGGGCTTCCCCCTTGATGAAAGGACCCACAGTATCCTTTCGACCTCAGCCTCCAAGAACTCGTGGTGCTGCCTACTTATTTTCCTCTCCAGACCTCTGTGCTGGGGAAGAGGAAAACACAGGCTCCAAGAAGATCACTGGGCTCCCTGAACAATTCATTTTGGCAAAGAGGAGCCAGGAAGCTCCATTTTCTGTCTACCCTCTAAACAACCAGAAAAGAGCAAAGGCGGCACTGCTCAGAGATCTTCCTCACCTCTCTTAGCCAATTTCAAGTTCCTTTTGCAAAGACCTAAGCCGTGCAGTCAGAGCAGGAGGGAAAAGGCCATCGCAAAGGGACTCCAAGTCATATTCTAGGAATAAAGAGCTTGTCCCAGCGGGCAGGGAGAGGGAAGTGTGTGTGTGTGGACCTGTGTGCACGACGTGGGTACCGCTCTGCAGCCTGAAGCACAGCACCAACAGAGTGGCCTTTGTCCAGGGCAAGAAACCAACAGCTCTACTGCCGGTACGGGGAGGGCTTGGGGCCTGGAAGTACAGACCCACCCTAAAGCATTCTAAGATAAATTACCAAGCAAGGCAGAGCAGCATCTGGGCAACTATGCTGAACTCAGACCAAGAAGGTCCGCCTCAGGCTTTGTATTTCCCGTCCAAAGGAAACAGGCCAAAGAGGCAGCTAAGTAATGAGCACTGACTTGAGCTCCTCTCCAAAAACATCTTCTCTAAAACTGAGTCACGAAGCACTTCCTCAATCAGTTCTGAGGGAATGTGTGTATACCAGCCTTTTTCTGGGTGACCTGGCTTTGGAAGGAACCTGACCCCTTTGTGCTGCAACATCTCTGAATATGGATATGCAGAATCTCTGAGTACAAGCATTTATAGCTGGGGTTGGTCAAGGATGCCTCCTCCTAAGGACCCAGACTGCACCTCTCTGAGGTGCTTATAAAATCACCTCTCTCTGTGCAACCTGGAAGAGGCCGAACTTCCTCAGCTCTACGGAAGTTTATTCTGCCTGAGCAGATGCCCAGGCCAGTCTTGGAGGGATGGGGCATCCACAAACACAGCTGGACTGAAGGCTGCGACCAGTGCCTGGGCACCCACCGATCCTCCCAGAAGTCAGGTTGAGAGATGTTCCTGCATTGGGCCCAAGATTGAGTTTTCAGGCATGGAGTAGGGGGTCTACAACCTCATTTGAATCAGGAAAGTGTTTCTGGCCTTCTGGTTTCCCATTTTAGAAGGGGATTTGAGAAGTGGGAAGGGTATATTCCATGGGAAAACTGGGTTGTGATCATGGCAATCTGTTCTTCAGTTTCAGGCTGAGATCTGGGTAAATACATGTCCAGAACACCTTTCAACAGGGCTTAAAGGATTCAAAGAAAGTCAAATCCCTTCGTAGTTTTGGCCAAAATGTGATTATGAACCTTTTCTCAGACTTGACTACTTGGGTCCAAAGCCTGGGGACTGGCCAGAGCTGCATGGGGGTGGACATGAGGTACAGAGGGCAGGAAAGGGCCAAGAGCCCAGCACTGATGACTAAGAAGGGCGAGGGCGCTGTAGAGGTGAACATGTGTTGGGGAAGGGTGCTTCTCTGCAGGAGGAAAAGGTGGAATCTTCTTGTTTCAAGAGCCAAAGAAGTGGAAATTCCTAAGAAGCCTTAGTTCTTCTCTCCAGTTTGGAGGTAAGCCCCTTGGGACATACCCTTTGACTAGAGTCAAGCTGAAGGCTTACAATTTACTGTCTAAGAGAAGGAGTTTCTAGGGTTGTGCCATTTGGTGAAAGGGGAGAGGGACTGGAAAGGGGACTAAGGCTTCTAGGATGGGAACCAGCAAAGTCTACAGTGAATCAGTGTCCATGCCCCACAGTGCAGCCAGCCAGGAGATGGAGGAGCCGGAAGGAAACCGCCCGAGAGAGCAGGGCGCTGGGCAGCTGAGGAGGTGCTACCGTCACAGAGAGGTATCTCAGATAGTTCAGTTACGAGTTTCCAAGGAAACTTTACAGACCCCTTTCTTGCTAGAAAGAGGGCGGGAACCTGCTTCAGAGACCAGACCCTTACCTATAAAAATAACATATACATTCACTGGGAATATGTTCTACAGCTAAGGAGATTACAAAGACTGCAAGAGATGTTATTATAAAAGTCTGCTGCGTTTATCCTATCACCACAAGTTAATGGCAGTTCTCAATCTGGTCACGGACGCAGAGTGCAGCTCTGCCCCAAGAATTTCCTTTTCTTTTTCTTCATTTATTTTGACACAAAATAAAACAAAACAAAACCCAGAAGAGTTAAAAGCACTGTAGCTGCGGTGAGTCTATTGTTCTCTCAATCCAACTGTCTTCCCCTCCTATGTGAGGATGAACACGGGGCTGCAGCTCACTCTTAGAAAAAATAAGCTTCATCTCTTGCAGCTGTTGGTTTTGATTGTGTTCTCGCCAGCATTCCATGGAGAAAGAGTTCCCAGTTGGTTCCGGTCTCTAGCTCCTCTCAGGAGTGAAAAGGAGCTCGCGGGGAAGGCTCTTCATTCCAGTTCTTAGAGAAAATCAAGCTCCAAAGCCTGGTGGAGGGACACCAGGTCTCCGTGGTTTGTGATCCTCCAGAAGGGCATGTTGTGCTGGAAGGGGGAGGAGGGAGGGACACTGGTTAACCCAACTTCTTTTGGGAGCTTATATTTACCCACACCCCTTCCTCCACAGACCTCTCCCCAAAGTACTTGGTAACCCTCCTTACTCCTGCCCACCTCATAAGACTGTCATACGGATCAAGTAAGTCATGTGTAAAGGGCCATATGTATACTACAAGACACTTACAGATGGGAGAGATTTTTATTAGGTTTCAGTGGTAACTCTGTGCTTGTATGAGACAGATTTGTTCTAGCTACTATGTACGATCCTCAGGATCAAATAAAATGACCCATGTAAGAAATCAGTATTAATACAGTATTATATTTTCTTATGGATAGTCTATTTTCTATAAGGTTCAGAGCTGCAAAGCCCAAATCTTGTCCATGACCAAGATGAAGAACAGAGAGATCTAGAAAATAATAATCCCACTATATTATGTGATCAGAGTTATGTCCAGAATACTGTGTGCCATTCTGGAAGCCATATTTTAAAGAAGGGCTTTGAAAAACATGAGTGTTGGAAACCATGTTCTATAAAGCTGAGGAAATTACCTTTACTAATCATTTTGTTCAGACTGGTTGCAAGTTACCTGGAATACTGAAAGTCCTAGAACACAGTTCTTTTGGCATGTAACTCAGTGCTTTTTCAAGCCTGCTGCTCACGCATAATATTTAAAAGGCCTTGAATATACTGAAGAGGAAGCAGACTTGTTATGTTGTGCTCAGAAGTGCCAGATTAGGACCAGGATACAAAACAGAAATTTTAGTTCAATGGAAGAAGGAACATCCTAAGAGCCTGGATGACCCCACAGTGGAACAGGATACCTGGGAAGCAGTCTCCTCACCCTTAGGTATATTCAAGCAAGGACTAGAAAGTCTTCCGTCACAGAGGGTGCAGAAAAGATCCCTCAGAGGGAGGAGACTGAGATCTAAGGCATTTTCCGATGGGTGTACTCTGTGGCAGATGACTAGAAGCGTGCGCTTAGAGACACAAAGTCTGATAATGACTTGAGTTGTTCTTCTATCTCCCCCACTCCCTTCTTCTTCAGACCAAGAAGCACTGATGTCTACATCCACTAGCGTCTTCCCCAGAGGGCAACAAGCACTTTAGAATTAAAGCTGGAAAGCCTGGAAAAGTCTGAATGATTGGCCTTTAGTGTAAAGTCTCACGCTCTTGAGAAAGCATTGACCTCTAAGACGAAGATGGAAGATGGGGCCCACGTCAGGTTTAATGATTGGCGTCCTTGTAGCAGGGCTCAAAGATTTTAAGATTTTAGAGTGGCAGGGAGGAGAGAGAAGGGGAGGATCTAACAACTTACAGGGAAAACTCTGCATGGGGAAAAAAATGACCCTCTTTTTTTTTTAAAAGAAAAATGGGAGAGGAATAGGAAGAAGAGAACACTGTAAATGCACAACAGATTACTACGATTTCTGAGTCTTACCATTCTTCTAATTGCTCAATGTATTCCCATACAGACTATTTACTTTGCCATGTTACCTGTTTGGCTGCGATTTCTTCATCCCGTCCATCTCCAATCACTACGTATGTGACTTTCTTTCCAAACCTTGACACAATTCTCTCGAAGCAGCTCTCTTTACCTGATGAGAAAAAGAAATTTCCTATTGGGACATTCCTCCCTTTCTTTTTTTCAATACCAAAGAAAAGGGCTGCTGCTAGGTTCACCTGCCTGTGCTTAGACAGAATCAGGGCAGCCCATGTGGTTTGCTTGGTGGGGAGCAGGGGTGGTAGCTAGGGATCCAACAGGCTCTCTGCCCAAAGAATGTGAAATTGTGCCATTCACACAACAGACTTTCTAGGCACTGTGCTCTCTAGGTTATTTTAATTTTCACACTGAGGGTGAAGTACCTAAGATCTTAGTGTGGGATGTTTCTATAAACACCATATGAGAGCTGTGCACACTCCCTCCCTCTTCCATAGCTCCTGTACTTTACAATATACAAAGCAGTTTCAAAGTGTTCGTTCACTTAATTCTCAAAATAATCTGGTGAGACGGGTCCCATCCCCTATTCTGATAGATGGAAATGGACCCAAAGGATTTGTGACTTGCCCTAGATCACAAACAAGCTAGTAGCTAGACTCTGAGCCTCTCACTCCAGAGTCTAGGCTCTGGTCATTGTGCCATGACGAAAGGACGTTTTTTGGTTTTTTTTTTGTGGTTAGCGGGCCCCTCACTGCTGTGGCCTCTCCCGTCGCGGAGCACAGGCTCCGGACGCGCAGGCTCAGCGGCCATGGCTCACGGGCCCAGCCGCTCCGCGGCATGTGGGATCCTCCCGGACCGGGGCACGAACCCATGTCCCCTGCATCGGCAGGCGGACTCTCAACCACTGTGCCACCAGGGAAGCCCGAAAGGACGATTTCTGAGGGGAAACCGTTAGTGTAAGAAAAAGAAGTGGAAGTCCCCAATTTCCGGTTAGTAATTAGGAAAAAAACAGCCATTTCCTTCCAACTCTACATTTCCCAGAAACGGTCCTAGTCCTGGGCCTTATGTCTTTCAGGAGGGGAGGAGTCTCAGAGTACCAATGAATATGGCAGCAATATTTGTCACATCTGGAATTTCCTATTATACTGTGTAACTGCAACTGAGATCCTGTATCAGTGACATTAACCTTGGGAAATGGGTGATTTAAATCCACTGCAGACAGCTCTTAGAAACATGGTGATGAATCAAAATTCAAATCCTACCTGGAACCAACACCTAAACGTGCACACATAATACTGCTGTGGCAAAGACACTGTACTTGCATAAGTAAATAAAAAGAAAATTATCTCTCGTGCTCTTCCTTCACCATCTCTTATGTTTTATTAAAACTGCTTCTGCCACCTTCTTCAGTTAAGCAAGGCGCTAACTCTGCTTCCTTTTTATATCCTGCTGCATTAACTTTCTCATCCTATCTTCTTGCCAGATTCAGTGACTTAGCACCAGGGTTCCTGTGTGAATAAGAAAAAGGCGCAGGCTTCCCTGGTGGCGCAGTGGTTGAGAGTCCGCCTGCTGATGCAGGGGACGCGGGTTCGTGCCCTGGTCCGGGAGGACCCCACATGCCGCGGAGCGGCTGGGCCCGTGAGCCATGGCCGCTGAGCCTGCGCATCCGGAGCCTGTGCTCCGCAACGGGAGAGGCCACAACAGTGAGAGGCCCGCGTACCACCAAAAAAAAAAAAGAAAAAAGAAAAAGGTATCTCTTCCTCAAGGCACTTGACTGCCATCTGCTGGAAAACTCTTATAATAAATATACAAATATAGAAATATACAAATCTAAGATGACTACATCATATCTGACAAGAATCTTTACACCCATACTCAGAAGTCCTGATTGGTACATCTAAGCAACTGCAAGTCTATGACATGCCTAGCCCAGGTGGCACCTCACACCTGGACCAGACACTAGTCCACTTGGGGCCTCAGTCTCCCACTCTTAATACAGGGCTTGGCTTAGGTGCACTTAGGTCCCTTTCAGTGCTACCGTTTTATAATAGCATTGTCACACCTTATGTTCATATCAAGCATTCAATCCATGTGTGCTAAGTAAATACATTTTAATTTCACAAATGATTAAGGGGATGGCTCTACTCTATGCCTTGAGCCCCAATTTAAACATTAAATAATTCAACTAATAATGAGTTCTTAACATGTTCTTATTAAGTGTTAAAGAGTTATTTGTCTAATTCCATTCCAACCATTAGGTCCTTACCTAAGCCAACCTCTGCTAGACCCGCAGTCTAATTTATGATTTATAGAAAAAGCTTCTACGTCGGTAGGATTTTAGAAATTTCCCCTAAGACCCAACAAAGGGAATGTCTCTTATTTAGAAGACAGGGACATAGAGATGTTTTCATTGTCCTGGCCTTCAATGATCAAGGAAGAAATACAATTAAGAATGTTTCCTCTAAAAGGATTAAGAGTAAGTTATTAACAGCTCAGGGTAAAGAAGTAGCCATATGAAAAAATAATTCCAATACAGTTGGTAAATACGCTGCTTCCATTTTATACTTTCAAAACAATCCTAGAGATGAGCTCTCCTGTTCAGGAGGATAAAACCAATGACTAGTCAGTTTACCAAATGTCAAGTGATAGAAGCTGTCACTGCAAGACCAACCAAGCCTTCGGAGAAGATTAGGTTCTTGAGTTTCCTCTATCAGAAAGACTTCTGGGCTTCCCTGGTGGCGCCGTGGTTAAGAATACGCCTGCCAATGCAGGGGACACGGGTTCGAGCCCTGGTCTGGGAAGATCCCACATGCTGCAGAGCAACTAAGCCCGTGCATCACAACTATTGAGCCTGTGTTCTAGAGCCTGTGCGCCACAACTACTGAAGCCTGTGAGCCACAACTACTGAAGCCCATGCGCCTAGAGCCCATGCTCCGCAACAAAGAGTAGCCCTCACTCGCTGCAACTAGAGAAAGCCTGCGCACAGCAACGAAGACCCAACGCAGCCAAAAATAATTAATTAATTTAAGAAAAGAAAGACTTCTGACATCTTCAGAAATGGTTTTGAGAATTCTCTTCAATGTCACAGAGTGTCCATTAAGAGAACTGCAATTCTGAAACCATTTCAGAGGAACCGAACAAACATTTCCTCTCCCTGCTCTCATCTCATAGTTCTGTAAAGGAAAGCCTCAAGCCTCTCACTGTGGTTACCATGGTGCCAGGTACCACTGTAGCTCTGCTAATTAGCTCTGGACGAAATTGAGAAAATCACCAAATAAGCACACTTACTGTCAGAAGGAATAAAATCATGTCCATTAGTTTGATGAGCCTCTGAGTGCCAGGATGCAGCATCAAGCACTACAGAAATCTACCTTTCAGGTGTGGGAAGGTTAGCGAGTGCTCTGAGTTCTTACAAAATGCATAGTAAAGCAGGGGCAGCAGTAGCAAAATCTGAAGGGGGGTTACAGATTTATCTCCCCCATCAAAGCCCTTGTAAATGAAGTAATTCAACCATACAAAAAAGAACAATAAAAAATAAATGCCTATATAGCTACCACCAACCCAGCTTTATCAAATCTTAACACTTTAGAGTTGCTTTAGATAAAAAAATATAAAAATGAGATCGTACAGATTTATTTGAAGTTTTCTATTTACCCCTACTTGATGACATTCTTCCTCCTTTCTCTCCCTGAGCGTGTTATCCATAAACGATGTATGGCTATTATTGTGAACGTTTTTTACCTTTATATAAATTATATACTGTACATACTATGTGTAATGTGTTTTTTGTGTTCAGCATTGTTTTTAATACTAATCCTTAGGGATATATGTAGTTTTAGTTCATTCACCTTTTTTTTTAAAAAATTAATTAATTAATTTTTAGCTGCGTTGGGTCTTCGTTGCTGCACGTGGGCTTTCTCTAGTTGCGGTGAGCAGGGGCTACTCTTCGGTGCAGTGTGCAGGCTTCTCATTGCAGTGGCTTCTCTTGTTGTGGAGCATGGGCTCTAGATGCGCGGGCTTCAGTAGTTGTGGTGCACGGGCTTAGCTGCTCCACGGCATGTGGGATCTTCCCAGACCAGGGCTCGATCCCGTGTCCCCTGCGTTGGCAGGCGGATTCTTAACAACTGCACCACCAGGGAAGCCCCAGTTCATTCACTTCTAGCTGCTATACAGTATTCCATTGTTTGACTATTTTCTGTTCATAGACAGGTTCATGTGCTGTTTCTAATTATTTTCTACTATGAACAAGGCTGCATCAAAAAAAAAATTCTTGCACATACCTCCTTGTGCAAATGAGAATGAACTCAAGGGAAGGAGTTGGCATATTTCAAGCTTTGCAGGTCATATGATCTCTGTTGCAATTATTCAACTCTACTACTGTAGTGTGAAAGCAGCTATGGAAATGATTACACTTGGCTCTGTTTCAATAAAACTTTCCAAAAACAGGCAGTGGGCAGAATTTGGTATGTGGGTTATAGTCTGAGACCCCTGCTCTCGAGTATAAATATCTAAAAGTAGAATTGCTTGGTCATAGGGTTATGCACATCTCAAACTTTACTAAACATTGACAAACTGTTTTCCAGAAAGTTATATCCATTTTCAATCCACTAGCAGAGTAAGCTCTCACTTCCCTGACAAAGTTTGGCACTGTCAGACTTAATTTTTTGCCAATCTAATAGACGAGAAAGGCATCACATTTTAATTTGCATTTCCTTAATTTGCAGATCCTTAATTGGTGAGGTTAAAAAACTTTTCATATATGTTTACTAACAATTTGGGTTACCTTTTCTGCAAATTGGCTGCTCCAAGGTTTTTGCCTACTTTTTAAAATTATGTTGTCTGTTGCTTATTGATCTGCAGGAGTTCTTTATGGATTCTGTATACTAATCAACAAGTAAATGTATTGCAAGTATCTTCTCCCAGTCTGTGATTTGTCTTGTCACTTTATGTCATCTTTCACTGTATATAAAATTAAAAGCTTCACACAATCAAAATGATCATTTTCTTCTGTTTTTTTTTTTTAAGTACTATTTTTGGGGTCTCTTAAATGAGATCCCTCCCTACCTTAAGGTCATACAGATACTCTTCTATTTTCTCTTCTAAAAATTAACGTTTTGCTTTTCATGGTAAATTTTTTATCCACCTGGAATTTATTTTTGCAAATAGCATAAAGAAGGAATACAGAATCTGCTTTCTTACCCCGTATGGATAACCCAGTTATCCGAGCACCACTGACTGAAGGTAAGTTCCATGAGGACAGAGGATTTTGTCCCTGCTATATTCTGAGTGCCTTGGCAATGCCTGACATTTTTTAATCTAGCAAGTAACTACAACTTATCTGCAAATGAGGACTGTCTCCTTGGCTGCAATAGGGAAGTAGGAACTGTAGGCACACACTAAAGGGTCTGGAGGGGTAAGGAGATAGCTGTCATAGTCCTCTTTCCCCGGACCATGTACAGCACATAAGATTAGAGTGACACATTCTGCTGTCTTCTCAGCCAAACAAGTATAAATCTGGTGCCAGTTCACTAATCAATTCAGCAAATATTTATTGAGTACTTCCTATTTCATGTACTTAGAACTGAATACATTTTTAGGGGATAAAAAATATCTTCACATACAGAGTCTCATTTGATTTTCAAAACCTCTCTGGTAGTTTTTCATCTTACATGAGAAAACTGAGGCTCAGGAGATACACTAATTTCCCTAAAAGCTAATAAGTGGGGGAGTTAGGACTCTATCCTAGTCCTTAGTTTTTTGTTTTTCCTTTTCAAAAAAGTATGGTAAAAAAACACATAACATAAAATTTACCATCCTAACCATTTAAAAATATACATTTCAATAATATTAAGTATACTCATACTGTTGTGCAATAATTCTCCATAACTTTTCATCTTACAAAACTGAAATTCTATACCCATTAAGCAACAATTCCCTATTTCCCCTCTCCCCAGGCTCCCATTAACTACCATTCTATTTTCTGTTTCTATGAATCTGACTACTCTAGGTACCTTATACATGAGTGGAAACATACAGTATTTGTCTTTCTGTGATTGGCTTACTTCACTTAGTATAATGTCTTCAAGGTTCATACATGTAGTAAGCATGTGACAGGATTTCCTTCCTTTTTAAGGTTGACTAATATCCCACTGTATGTATATACCACGTTTTATTTATCTATTCATTTGATGGACAGCTGGGTTGCTTCCACCTCTTGGCTACTATGAATAATGCTGCTATGAACATAGGTGTGCAAATACTTCTTTGAGATCTGCTTTGGATTCTTTTGGATATATACCCAGCAGTGGGATTGCTGGATCATGTGACAGTTCTATTTTTAATTTTTGAGGAACCGCCATACCGTTTTCCACAGCAGCTGCACCATTTTACAATCCCACCAGAAGTGCACAAGGGTTCCAAATTCTCCACATCCTTGCCAACACTTGTTATTTTGTTTTTCGGTGTTTTTTTTTGATAGCAGCTATCCTAACGAGTGTGAGGGATTTAACCGTTTTAAAGTATGTATCTTAGTCCTTGATTTTTAATCTAGTGCTTTTTCGATTATACTACATTACAGTGCACTCTCTGTGAAAGAGGAATTTGAAATGAGGCATAGTGGATTTCTCAACTAGATATTATGTTCTTTCAAATATTATAAAAGAAAAGAGCATGATAAATTTTAAGTCCAACAGACCTGGATTCGAATCCTGTTTATGTAGCTTACTAGCTGTGAAGTCTTGAGCAAACTACATAACTGATAAGCCTGAACTGCCCCATCAGTAATGTCAGGAGAAGAATGCTGTGAGGATTATAGATATATGTATATGTAAAGTGTCTAACTGAGGAACTGGTAAATAATAAGCACATCCTAAGTAGCAAGTATTATTGAAAGGCTAGTGACAAGAAACAGAATTGAACCCGTACCAATTTTGGTAGCACTGTAGATGTTTTCAATAGGAAATATTTCTCCTAGCCCATATAGGAGAACCTTGGCCAGAGCTGGAACCAGTTGGGTTGTAGTGATCAGAACATTCACACAATTCTTTCTGGAAGGGAGAAAGAGGGAAAAGAAAAGAAAAAGGTGAAATCAAACCAACCTGCGAACAAGAATTCAAATGGATCTTCTCTGTAGGACCTGCTTGTGAAAAATTAACCTCAAAATGCCTAGCATGGTATCTGTTCAGTGCCAATGTTCACTTTTTGCTCTAATTATCTCAGGTTTATTTATTTTCCCAATTAAAGGACAGAGACTTTTGTGGTGGACACAGAGCAGCAACTTGATTCTTGCCTCACTTCCTTCTGGCCATTCTAGCTCACTGCATTGTTAGCAAACCCCACCAACCCACGGCACTGATACCACACTCCAGAAAACACAATGAGGCTTTCAGTTACAGTGCCATTTCATCTGAATGAGATATGACTGAAGTCCAGTCCTCTCTGCTCATCACACCATGGCAACATAAATTTCAGAATACATATTATTTTCACGAGTCCTTTACCTTCACAGATATCCACCCCTTGGTGTCAGTTTTACTGTTTAGTAGGCTGTGAATCTGGAATTCTTGCTTTGAGGGAGGGACGAATAAGGGTATGTATTTATTTCCCATTCTAAGCTTCAAGCTCAAATCTCCTTAATCTGCTTAATGTACCCTTTTTCTTTTCTTTTTTCAAGTTATTTATTTTTGGCTGCGCTGGGTCTTTGTTGCCGTGCGCGGGCTTTCTCTAGTTGCAGTGAGCGAGGGCTACTCTTCCTTGAGTGCGCAGGCCTCTCATTGTGGTGGCTTCTCTTGTTGCGGAGCACAGGCTCTAGGCGCACAGGCTTCAGTAGTTGTGGCTCACGGGCTCCAGAGCGCAGGCTCAGTAGTTGTGGCGCAAGGGCTTGGTTGCTCCGCGGCATGTGGGATCTTCCCAGACCAGGGTTGGAACCCATGTCCCCTGCATTGGCAGGCGGATTCTTAACCACAGCACCACCAGGGAAGTCCCTGTACTCTTTTTCTTTTGAATCCCGCCTTCCTGAGTAGGTTTTGCTACATTTCTCTGGCGCTTCCTACACTTAGGGTATTTGTGATATAGCTCCTACATGTATTCTTTGATGTCACCAGGCCCACCCACGTTCTGGGTTGGAGATTCTGGGTTACTGAGTATAATTTAGTGAGCAAAAAGTAAGAGAAAAGAAAGCTCTTCGGTGTGCTTTTAGAGTAAAATGACCTTGCCTCCCACCTAACCGAATCCTTCCCTGCATCATTTGAACTCTTCTCACCCCTGTCCCACAGTCTGTTTTAGGGAATGGCCTATCCTGGACTAGGGTGGAAGAAAGCATCTCTCTGAGAGGATGAAAACTAAAATTATTATTTCCATACCTGGACTGGATGAGAAGTAAGGACTTCAATGCAGTTCCTAACCAGGAATCTGTTAAAACTTCAATTTCTGCTCTTAGTCTCTGCAGTGCTTCCTTTCTCTGGGGACTGAGGAGCCCTTTGGGAATAAAAGTAGACACATTCATCATTTGACAACATCCTTGCTGGCACAGAGAAAGCGACTTCTATATTCAATTTGGAAACAGTGTGAGTTACTGAGATATTCTACTGAGCTAACACATCTCTCTCCTTGATAAAACCCTAGCCTACTCAAAATGCCTTTTTTACTTTCTTCACCAGAATATTTTGCTGGGGGAGGGGGGAGGTGCATAATCACAACAACAAAATCGGTGATAGAAACACTGTGATTAGCTTCTGGCAGAGGCTCTTTCATCACCAACCGGTAACGTAATTTGCAGACCAGTGGACCATACTTGAGTAGCACTGCTTTAGATGTGACATCAAGAACCAAAGGGGAAAAAATTACAGATGGAGAGTCCACAGCATTTCCAATCTCTTTCTAAAGAAACCGAGGCCCACAGAGAAAAGGGGGCTGCCTGAGAATACACAGCAAGTTAGTGGCTTTTGGTCACTGAAATCTTCCCACTATCATACACTGCTCCCACAGTGACTGCTCTCACCCACTTCAGAACACATCAACCGAGATCCCAGGCTGAATCACCAGCTTTCTGAATGTCATTTATTTGTACTGTACTTCTGAAACAACTCCAGCTGGTAAGAGACTGAAACACTTCTTTAAGATCAGATGATTAAGCACAAAACAAAAAACAATTCATCTGATGGGAGCACGTTACCCGACACTTGAGTTACAATATTCAAATGATAAACCTGGCTCTGAATTTTCTGTAGTGAAGGTAAAAAGAGAAATTCTGCATTCTATCACCAACACTCCATAAAAACAGAAGTCATTTCTATGAGTAGAACTGTGTGTAATTTGTTTTCAGTCTGATGGTTTTTCACAATGCAAGCCTAGAATTAGATGGCTCTCAAAATTTCTGATAAAACAAAACAAAAACCAAACAAGTATCTATACGTCATGTATGACATATACATAAGCACGCATATGTCATATATTTAACTAATATCATGTGGCACTTTTGTTAATTCATATTTTACAAAATACAGGTGGAGATTACTTTTACTATGTTCCCCAGGGTGGGCTCAGGGGAGTCTCACAGAGGGTTATAAATCACTTTCTTCAGGAAACCACATCCAGACACTCACTGGGCAGAGAAAGGACCAGAGACTTAGGTTGTATATGAAAATGAACAAAAGAAAGGCAAATGTCTGTGAGAGAGAAAGAGCAAAAAGACTTGGTTACCAAAATAAAAAGTACTGGCTCTGAATCATGAAGAAAAAAAAGCAGTAAAGAGAGGAATCTGAAAAAAGTAAATAAATTAGATTCCCGAAAGCCCAGATGCCTATGATTTTTTCTGGTATTGGAGCACTGTAACACGAATGCACCAAACTGATCTTTGAAGCCCTATTTTTACTTTCTGCCCCACACTGTAGTAGTGGTATGGGAGGTAGGAGGGCTCTCTTGACCTGAGGTAATATACTTCTAGGCAGTCTATGGAATCCCTGAAACTTCACGCAACATTTTGTGCAGATGGAGGTGTTTGAGGGTGATGGTTCACAGTTTTCAATATTTTCTCACAAGGGTATATCACTAAAAAAGGAATTGCATGAATGTAAAGTGCAGTGGACCAAGAGTTCGGGATTCCAGCTGTGGTATGGGCACTAATTTGCTATGTGACCCGACCTTGTTACCCTCATGATGGACCATCAATTTTCTCAAGTGCAAAATGAAGGATTTAGATTAGTTCCCTAATGTCACTTCTAATTCGAACAATCTACGGCTAATTAATTAATTCCAAATAATAGAATTTTAGGCATAATGGCACCTGACATTTGAGATATATCTGGGCAGAAAGAATTTCCAAGGTCCTTCAAATCACAATGCACGGATACTGTCAACCTATCATCCTGGACCTAGTTTTCCATCCACTATAAACCTGGTTGCTAGTTCTACCTGACTTGTCCCGATGGCTATGTAAATCTGTTCAAAAATATGGCAACCTATTAAATATTACTGATAGTCGTTGTTTGCGAAGTTATACCAAGAGAAGTCCATGAGAAAGGCAGAGCTTCCTCCCCAGAGGGTTTCAATCAAACCTGTTTTTTAAATACAGAGTTCAAATGTTACTGTGGCACAAATTCATAAGTCAGGGAGCCCTAAGGAAACCCTGGAAAAGAAAACAGGAAATCAGAACAAAACAGAAAATTAGCTGGTTGTATGCCACACTTACCAGCCACATTGCTTTTATGCTTATCATAGATTTCTCTCACTTTTCGGTAACGGAAAGCCAGTTTCCTCATCCAGTCCACACCTCCCTGGACGCCCACAGAGGAACCATGGCTGCCACTACCTCCTGAGCCACTGAAACCATCTGTTGAGAAACTGTAGTTGCTGTAGAGAGAGAGGATGATGAAAATTAAAATCTACACTGCAGAGTTTTTGGTTGAATGCCACCTCGGATTGATTCTCTGTCCTATTCCTGGCATCTGACAGCAAGGTCTTGAGAATCTTCTTTCTTAATCTCTGTATGTCAGAGTCTATCTTTTCATCAGTCCTCCATCTCATCCCTATTACTTCTATCAAAGAAAGGATGGAAAGGGAGAGCAAGAGAGGCAAGACTTAATTCAAGCACCAGCATCCCCTAGAGGTTGGCTTCAGACAGACCATCTTTTCATTAATGACAGAAAATACCTTACAGTGAAAAAAACCCCGAATACAAAACTTTTGTGTACACACCCACCCACAGACACACACACACACACAATGATTGCAACTATGTAAAAAGGAGAAACGTGAAAAAGTAATGGAAGGAACTAACCCCAAATTCTAATAATAGTTAGAAAATGGGAATGTTTTCCTTCAGTGATCTTTTGGCTAGTTTAATAAGTTCATAGGTCACATATAAAATATGTCCACAAATCCTTTAATACTCCTCTAACTTTGCTCCCTGTAGGTATGGACCGTATTTGAACGTAAACAGAATGTGGTGGAAGTGATGGTGTTGGACTTTAGAGACCAGGCTTCCCTTACAGCACCTGCTCTAAAAGAAGCCAGCTGTCACAGGAGAACACTCAAGCTGTCCCATGAAGAGGCACATAGTGAGGACTGAGGCCTCCTCCTATCAGCCACACGTGGAAGCAGGTCCTCCAGCTCCAACCAAGCCTTCAGATGATTTTAGCTTCAGCTATGTTGACTTCAATCTCAGAGACCCTGATTCAGAACTACCCAGCTAAGTCCTTTTCAAGTTCCTGACCTACAGAAACTATGAGATGATAAATGGTAACTGTGTTAAGCTACTAAATTTGGGGGTTATTTGTTACACAGCAATAGACAACTATTATAGCTAAACAGGTTGGGAGGGATTAATACTTCCTAAGTCAAGATTTCCAAATGACTGACAGAATTAGAGACAACTTGGTTCAATCAGAAGTCAAAATAGAGTTCAGTGTAAAATTCTACATTTAAGAAAATAAAGCTGCCAAGACATAAGATTGGTAATTACTAGTTAGCCATATGCATAAGAGAAAAAAAAATACTAGGGTTCAGAGTGGACTGTAAACTGCTTCAGACCAGGCTTTTTCCTAAGGTGAGTAAAATCTCTTAAGACTGGTACCCTCCAAGGCTGTGGAAGGCACAGCATACATGACTGAATCTGCTCCAGAAGTGAAACCTTTCTATCCTTCTCGGCACCAAAGGGTTACGTCCTTACTAAGTGATATGTCCAGTTCTGCTCTAGATTTGAGAATTCACAGAGGAAACAATTTTAGGGTAGACACATGGAAAAACTTTTTGCCTATGAAAAGGGATAAACATTAAAACAAATTAACATGAAAAGATGTGACAACTTTTTTTCTAAAGGTCTTTAAATGTAAGGTAGATAAATTTTTGGATTATTCTTAGCTAAGACTACTGAGCTAGAAGACAGCGGCCAAGAGAGAAAGGAGGAGGCCGAGCAAGCACTTCGCCACTGAGACCTCCTTGGTTTAGCGTTCACTGTGACATTAACGTTGAAGATTGTCTTCCACAGGGTCAATCCTGACACCATCAGACCCCCCACAATTAACTTCCTTGGTAAAATCCCTGATGCTTATTTGTATCTAAAACCAATCCATCTGGAAGCACACTTTTCCCGACTGAAAATCTGGCCAAAGAGAAACTAGTATATCCTTTACTTTGGAATGCTTTTTTCTCATTCCATCATGCTACCCAGTCATCAAGGTCATACTTAAATTCTACTGTGCTGAGAAGGCCACCCCAATGTTGGCACCACGTACTCCCCACACCCGTCAGAATTACTTTCTATTCTGTGTTCCATCACATTTTCTATTGTCACCTTCTCACACTACATGCAAACGTTAACTACGTTTGTTTCTATCTCCTCTAATAGACTGTGAGCTCTTTTAGGGCTGTGTCTTATTCATCTTTGTTTTCCTCTGAACCTAGACAGTGTCTTATGCCTAACAGGTGTACTGATGTTTAAGACATCATTGTTTTTATCACCTCAAGTCTTGGCCATTGTCATCAGAAGCCACATCTTCCACATGCACCTGGTCACACTCCTGTTAAAAGACAAAACCACACATGATTTCAGTCCAGGGAGTAGAAGTGCTATTACCACCACAATATATTGTAAAAATATCACAAACAATGGCGAGGTGATGAAATACCATATGGTCTCTTATGTGTGGAGGATCACTCTCACCCCCCTTTCTGTTCAACTTCTTTTAAGGCCTAATTTACATTCCTCAGTCTTCATGAAATCTTCCTTAACCATCCCAACCCTCAGTTATGCTCTTATCTCAACAGTTCATTTTTCCAACAGTCCATGGGTATAAACACAAGCTCCCTTACACTGTCAGGTGTGCCTATGTCCTACACTAGACTGTAAGTCCTATTACATTGTAGGTCCCTTACGGCACGACCATGCCTTACATCTCCTTTGTACCCCTCTAGTCTAGTCCAGTGCCCTTATATAGCATGTACTCAATACATTTTTGCAGATGAAACAGATGCTGGTAGAGTGCGTGTCGTATCAAAACTGAGAATGACTGAAACAGAAATTTGTAAATTCAAACTTAGGAATTAGAAGAGGTCATCTAAGTCAATCTCCTCATATTCTAAAAGTGAGGTAAAACAATTTGCCCAAGATCATAAAACTAGTGAGTGGCAGAAAGAAACTAGAAGGAGCCTGGGTCTTCTAATCTGAATCCAAGGTTCTTTCCTTTAAGCCCACACTACTACGGACATAAAACGCCACCCACTGCCTAACTGACAGATTCATTCCTCTGACACCACCTAGGGTGGTGCCGTGATGTCCACCTGCATCAGAATCCTCTGGGGAAGATTTTTAAAAATGCATATTTTTGAACAGAATTTCTGTGAGTGAAGTCCTAGAATCTTCATTTTTAACAAGCTCCCCAGGTGATTCTTATGCCCCCTGAAGTTGAGAACCACTGACCTGGGGGGCAGGAACACATTCAGGTCAAATTCTTCACAGAACTTTCAGTCCTGAGTGAGGACTATGTCTAGAAAATCATTACAAATACAATTTGGCAACAATTACTGGCACATAGTAGGTTTTCAATAAATGTTTGCTGAATAAAACTATAATGTCCCAACTTATCAACATGTGAAGTTGAGGGAAGATTAAAGCACTGTGGAGCTTATACAAAAGTATTGGAGTTTAGAGCCCTATTAATTTAATTTGTTGGAGAATTGTCTGTTGAGTAGAACTAGACTGTATTTTATAAGAAAGAGGATTACTTCATGTTCATTTTACTTTAAAATTTTCACTATTTAAAACACTAGGTAATATATGTAGTACACAGTTCAAAATTCAAAAGGACATTAAGTGACAAGTCTGCTCCTTCCCACCTCTGTGTTCCAGCAACACATTCCCATCCTGAGATAGAACAACTGTTACTAGTTTGTTGTGTACGGTAACTGCTTAACTGAGGCCCAGAATGGGGAGATAACTTTCCTAACTTGGTACTCGCAGTCTGGTCTCCTGATTCCCAGTCCTGTGCTCTTTCCACTACACGATGTTCACCTCAAAGATGAACTCAAATGTCAAAACCAAAAAAATTAACCAAGAAGCTCTCAGTGTTTCCTGGTTTCCCTCCACCTAACTATAAAATGATCTGACACCAAGGCTAACCTATACATGGACAATAAGCACGTATAAAATACAATGAGTTAGAGCAGCCATCTACAGATCTGACAAATCAAGAGGCTATCTTTTAAGAAGGTAAAACTGAAAAACATTCAAGAGTACAAATAATCAAAGCCACCTTCTATATGTTATTTAGTATAGCTGAATAAATTGGAACGTTGGTTTATATATCAGTGTTTTGCCTGATGGGGTGGCACTGCCCCTAGAGATAGATCACTTCCAAATAGGCTAACAAAAATCAAGGTTTTGAGCCAATAAAACTGAAGCCCAGAACTAAGACTGTGGTGACCTAACCAAGGCACTATTTCTTCAAGACTATGTGCACCCAAGTGCCGAGCTGGCCTCTCCATACCTACCCTGTCTAACCACATTTCCTCTAAATACAAAAAGCACAGGCTCAATAAATAGTTAGTGAACAAAGTGTTTCACTGAAGTGCAGAAACAATTTAAAATGCTTACCTCTAGGTCATTGAAAAATAGATGTGTGTCAGCCACTTCAAAAATCATTTCTTCCATTGTTAAACCTGAGCCAATCACTACTGTTGGGTCCTGAAAGACAATAAGAGAATAATTTGCTTGACTTGGCACTCACAGCATTGGTTCTTATCTTTAAATGATTCAAAATAGTTTGGGTCAAGGCCAAAACAACACTGGCCCACAACAGTGCTTCTCACTATTACTGATGCAATTTCATTCACAGTTATAAGAATCTGGGATTGTGCAAAGTTAAACATTTCAGGACTTTAGGACTTTAGTTTCTAGAAAACTTAACCCACTTAAAAAAAAAAAAAACACTTAATTTTCGGAGAAATTCTGTTTCAGGAGAAATTCTAACTGTCACTGAAATATTGCTCTTATAACACCCATTATCGTCCCCCCGCCCAACCTCACACACACAGTACAACACCAGAAGTCAGTAATCTGACAATCTCAACAACGAGGAAATCAGTAAAGAAATATTTGCAGGAAAACCAATGCACGTAGCTTTAAAATGAACTATCAGACCTTCCCTTAGAGGCAGTATGCTCTTATTTTATATATTCTCATTACCAGACTTGTTATATAGTATATGAGCTTATGTCAGCTTGCCAGTCTAGATACTAAAAGCCTATGGGAAAGTACTTCTAACAGAAACATTGGTGACAATAAGAAATAATTAGGAGCAGTAAAAGTAGGAAAGCAAAGGAGGCTGATATTTTTATAAAATGTATTCATAGAAACTAAAAAATAGGAGCCTGGAGGTAATTTAGTACAGAAATATACAGCCACTACCTCAAAAACAGCTCATCCCTCTATCAAAACTGATGTTAATACTGATGACTAAAGTTAAATTCTGCTTGGTATATTTCATTTAAGAAGGTATATAATCTATTTTATTTTATTTTAAGGTTTTTTTAAAAGATTAATTTAGACTGTGCCGGGTCTTAGTTGTGGCATGAGGGCTTCTTAGTTGCAGCATGCGGACTCTTCAGTTGTGGCATGCGGACTCTTCAGTTGCGGCATGCAGACTCTTCAGTTGTGGCAGGTGTGTAGGATCTAGTTCCCCAACCAGGGATTGAACCTGGGCCCCCTGCATTGGGAGCATGGAGTCTTACCCACTGGACCACCAGGGAAGTTCCTAAGAGGGTATATAATCTATTTTAGAAAGATATTTTATATTTTAAATGTACAGATCTAGTATATTCTCAGCTAAATGGAATGCTCAGTTTAGGCTGTTATATGTGACACAGGGATAACAGACTAGTCTTTGGAGTAGATAATCCTGAGACTCCACTCCGTTTTGAGCCTCAGTCCCATACTTAGTCTTTGCAAAATACTGCTCTCCAACAACTTCAGCTTTCAGTACTGGTCCCAGGTCTAGTCTCTACCTTTATCATCAGCTCTGCCTGACCATGTAGTCTGCCTGGTATAAGCCATTGGGTGAAGCTTTATGTGAAAGGTGAAAGGTCAACAGGGTAAGATGGAGATAACAGAGACAGTGATTTTGGTTACCTGCACACATAGTCAGGAGAGGGACAGTTACAACAAAGGAAGAAAGACTCAAATTACCTTTCCATACTTCTGGGCATAGGATCCAGTAAGAAGGGAGTGGAAGATGATGATGGTTTCATCTAAGTCCCACAGAAATACCCGCTGAGTGAGGAAAATATTTTAAAAAATGAGTGAGCATCTTTTTTAATCGTAATGGAATGAGACAAGAAATCAATAACAGAAGGGAAACTGGAAAATTCACACATCTGTGAAAATTAAACAATAATCTTAAGCAACCAATGGATAAAAAAGAAATAAGTGAAATTAGAAAATACCTTGAGATGAATGAAAACCAAAAACAACATACCGAAATTTATGGGATGCTGTGAAAACAATGCTAAGAAGGAAATTTATAGCTCCAAACGCGTACCTTAAAAAAGAAGATCTCAATCAAAAACCAAACTGCACAATTTAAGTTGCCAGAAAATGCCAGTAGAAGCAAGGAAATAATAAAGGTTAGAAGAGAATAAAGCAGAGGGTAGGAAAAAAATAGAGAAAATCAACAAAACCAAAAGTCGGTTCTTTGAAGAGATCTACAAAATTGACAACTTTTAGCTAGACTGGCTAAGAAAAAAGAGAGGAGACATAAATTACTAAAATCAGAAATAAAAGTGGGACATTATTACCAATTTTACAGAAATAAAAAGGATTATAAGAAAATACTATGAAGAGTTATACACCAACAAATAATCTAGATGAAATGAACAAATTCCTAGAAATTCACAATGTGCCAAAACTGACTCAAAAAGAAACAGAAAATCTGAACAGATCTTTAACTGGAGGAGGTTGAATCAATAATAAAAAACATCCCAAGAAAGAAAAGCCCAGGACCAGATGGCTTCACTGCTGAATTCTACCAAACACTTAAAGAAGAATTAACACCAATCCTTAAGATCTTCCAAAAAAATTAAAGAGGAGGGAACACTTCCTAACTCACTCTATGAAGCCAGCATTACCCTGATACTGAAGACAAAGACACTGCAAGAAAACTGCAGACCAATTCTCCTATGAACAGTGATGCAAAAACCTCAACAAAATAGTGGTAAACAATATTCAGCAGCATATTTAAAGAATTATAAATCATGACCAAGTGGGATTTGTTCCCAGAATGCAAGAATGGTTCAACATAGAAAAATCAATATAATATACTGCATTAACAGAATAGAGGAAAAAACCCACATGGTCATCTCAATTGATGCAGAATAAGCATCTGACAAAATTCAACACACTTTCATGATAAAAACACTCAATAATCTAGCAACTTCCTCACCATGATAAAGGACGTATATGAAAAACCTACAGCTAATATCATACTCAATGGCGGAAAATTGAAAGCGTTACCCCTGAGATTAGGAATAAGAGAAGTATGCCTGTCTTCACCACTTCTATTCAAATGGTACTGGAAATTCTAGCCAGAATAAACTGGCAAGGAAAGGGGAAAAAAGGTACCCAAACGGGAAAGGAAGAAGTAAAATTACCTCTGTTCACAGATGACATGATCTTATACATAGAAAACCCTTAAGAATCCACAAAAAATTGTTGAGAGCTAATAAATGAATTCAGAAATCAGCTGTATTTCTATAAGCTTGCAATGAATAATTCTAAGAGGAATTTAAAACACAACAGCATCAAAAATAATAAAATATTTAGGAATGAATTTAACTAACAGTTCAGGACTTGTACACTGAAAACTATAAAACATCACTGAAGGAAATCAAAGAGGACACACCTAAATAAATGTAAAGACATTCCATGTTCATGAATATAAGACAATATTGTTAAGATGACAATACTACCCAATGTGATCTACAAATACAATGCAATCCCTATCAAAATCCCAACAGTGTTTTTTAAGGAAACAGAAAAACTAATCCTAAAATTTGTATGAAATCTCAAGGGACCCTGAAGAGCCAAAATAATCTTGAAAAAGAACAAAGTTGGAAGACTCACACTTCCCGATTTCAAAACTTACTACAAAGCCAGAGTAATGAAAACAGTGTGGTACTAGCATAAGGACATATATACAGACCAATGGAATAGATGAGAGAGCCCAGAAATAAATGCTTATATATAGATACACACATATAGGCTCAATTGATTTTTTTTTTTTGCCAAGGATACCAAGACCATTCAATGGGGAAAGGAAACTGTTTCCAAAACAAGGTCCTGGGAAAACTGAATATCCATGTGCAAAAGAATGAAATTAGATCCCTGCTTCACACTATGTACAAAAATTAACTCAATATGGATCAAAGACCTAAATTTAAGAGCCAAAACAAAGCTTAGAAGAAAATACAGTTGAAAATCTTCATAATCTTGTTTCCTTAAATATAATACCAAAAGCACAAGCAATAAAAGAAAAATAGAACTTTATCAGAATTTAAAACTTTTAAGCATCAAAGGATACTATCAAGAGTGAAAAGACAATCTGCAGAAAATACCTGCACGTCATATATCTGATAAGGGATTAATATCTAGAATATAAAGAGTTCCTAACATTCAACAACAAAAAAATAAACAACCCAATTTAAAAATGGGCAAAGGATTTGGACATTACTTCAAATAAAACAGACAAATGGCCAATACACATATGAAAAGATATTCAACATTATTAATCATTAAGGAAATGCAAATCAAAACCACAATGAGACACCACTTCACACCCATTAGGATGGATTATGCAAAAAATGGGAAATAACTGGAACCCTGGTACATTGCTGGTAGGAATGTAAAATGGTGTAGTCATCTGGAAAACATTTTGGTGGCTCCTCAAAAAGCTGAACATAGAACTACCATATGATCCCGCAATTCTACTCCTAGGTTTATACTTTTTCAAATAATTGAAAAGAGGCACTCAAAGAGATACCTGTACAGCAGTGTTATAGCAGCATTATTCACAATAGCTCAAAGGTGAAAAAACCCCAAGCGTTCTTCACAGATGAAAATGGATAAACAAAATGTGCTATATATACACAATGGAATTATTCAGCCATAAAAAGGAATGAAGTTCTGATATATGCTACAGCATGGATGAACCTTGAAAACATTATGTTAAGTGAAGTAAGCCTGACACAAAAGGATAGATTTTGTATGATTCCATTTATATGAACTATCTAGAATAGGCAAATTTATAGCGACAGAAAGTAGAACAGAGGTTACCAGGGACTAATAGGAGGGGAGAATAGGGAATCATTGCTTAATGGGTGCAGAGTTTTTGTTTGGATCATGAAAAACTTCTGGAAACAGATAGCAGTAACAAACAACACTGTGAATGTACTTAAAATTGCACACTTAAAAAATGGTAAATTTTATATTATATATACCTTACCACAATTTAAAAAATGAGTGAGTTCTCCGTTTTTTCCAAGAAATATATCAGGTCTTTAGATTTTCTTTCTTTCTCCTCCTGCCCTCCCCGCTGCCCCCAGTAACAAAAGGGAAGAGAGGTTTCAAACATAGCCTCAATTTACCTATGTCTTCTGAACACCTCTCAATGGACTCATTTTTAAATATGGCTTTTCCCTCTTATTAAATGATCACATTATAGAAAAATTGAAGAAAGAAAACAAAAGGATTAATATCAAAACTCCATTATTATTAGAATTTGTATGACTTTCTAGTCTTTTAATAATGAAGTCAAATGTATGCCCATAATAAATTCCTATAGTGTTTAAACTACAGAATAAGTGAGAGCCAATCTCATTAATAAGTTACCAGATCTGGTTGCATGTTTCACAGAAACTTGGCCTAAAGCACTTTAGTTCTCTCATTTTACTTTGAGATTTTTAAATGGAGAACAGTATATTACTGTGACACCCTCTGCTTTCTCAATATGATGCATTATTCTTTCTGTTCTCCTCTGGAATACAGAAAACAGTTTGTTCTTTCCCTTAAAAAGTGACCTGGCTACCTAAATTCAAAAAAGCTTTTTCAGTGCTCTTGGTGAAAAGGATCTGAAAGTGATATGGTAAGATATGGGCATAGAGTAATGTGTTTTTACATTTCTCTTTTCACTTGGCCAATTCATTTTCTCTTGCTCAGGAATTATAGGGTATACAACACAGAACCACATAATCTCATGAGTTTCAGATATGTATTTGATAAATTTAAGAAATGAGAAAAAAAAAAAGGTTGCAACTCAAATGAGTTTCTTCCCATACTTCTAATTCACTGTCCTGGGAAGAGCTGGCATCAGCTTTCCTCTTGCCCCGGTTCTTGCCAGTCATGTTTTTCCTGGATTGGTCATCAGCATCTTTACTTGGTGTAGTCTGGGTCAAAGATGGGCTTGTAGAAGGGTCTCCTGGAAAGGAAAAGTGAGACACCGGTATTGCCAGTGTAGTCACAGGCTATAAGAACCAGAGCAGAATGGTCAGCAGGTTCTCTGCCCTTAAGAATCATGTTGCAGGGATAAAGGCTGGAATACCAAACTTTACTTAAGCAATTTGGAAATGTAGACCAAACATCATGAAGAGAGTTATAACTAGAATTTATATGCCTTCCTCCCAATGGAAGAACACATCTATAAGTCATTTTGCCAAAAAAAAAAATTAAACCTGAACCTGATCAAGCTTCTAGATCAGGGTTTCTCAACTTGGCACAATTGACCTTTTTGGACCAGATAATTTTTGTTGTGAAGGGATGTCCTGTGCATTGTAGGATGTTTGGTTAAGCAGCATTCTTGGCCTCTACCCACTATATGCCAGTAGCACCCCCTTCCCAGTGTGACAACCAAAAATGGGTCCATACATTGCCAAATATCCCTGGGTGTGAGGGCATGGGGGTGGAGGCAGGGGGCACAGAACCACCTCTAGCTGAAAAACCACTGCTCTAGATCCATTTACCACTTTAAATAAAATACAGAAGGCAGTGGGCTGTGGTAAGCTACCCTCTAAGATTATAATTGGCGAAATTTAGACTGAGAAATGGTATGGGACAAACAATCTATTGATTGTTTCTTCAACAAATAAATTACAATCGGAAATAAAAAGAGATAGGGGAATTTATAGGTTAAAACAAAATATCCACCAATCACAATGTATGGACCTTACTTGGATCTTATTTTAAACAAACTGTAAAAAGAAAAACAAAACTCCTAACATTTATAAGAAAACTAGAAATATGATTACCCTTTGGTATTTTATGTTATTAAGGAATTATTGTTGAATATTTAAGATGGGATAATGGCATTGTGGTTATGTTACCAAGCATTATAAATAAATATGATACCTGGCATTTGAGGAGGGAATTGGATGAAGTATAGTTGAAACAAGATTGCCTATGAGTTGTTAATTGCTGAAGTTGGATGACAGAATATAAGGGTTCATTATACCATTCTGACAACTTCTGCCACTGTTTGAAACTCTCCATTATTAAAAAGTTAAAATTGTTATGAAGAACAAAGATATTTAGAGAAATGAATTCAAAACTAAGGCATCAACACATGTAATGATTTCAGAGTTATGTACGTTCGAAGCAGCAACCATTTGTATGTCTTTATCTAGAAGACCAGTAGAGGCAAGATGCACAGAAAACTGCATTAGTTGATGTAGACCACTTTTTAAAAATGCATCAGTGTTAACGATAAACAGTCCTTCCTCAAGTTACATGATGTGACAGCGAACCACCAAATTTTCATGAAAAATAGGGATAAAAAGTATGTGCATATGTTTACTGAATGTGTGCATCAAGTCTTTATGTCAGGATTTTTTTTTTTTTAAACACTAGTCCTTTGGTTTTTTATTAATTAATTAATTTATTTTTGCTGTGTTGGGTCTTCGTTTCTGTGCGAGGGCTTTCTCTAGTTGTGGCAAGTGGGGGCTACTCTTCATCATGGTGCGTGGGCCTCTCACTATCGCGGCCTCTCTTGTTGAGGAGCACAGGCTCCAGACGCACAGGCTCAGTAGTTGTGGCTCACGGGCCTAGTTGCTCCGCGGCATGTGGGATCCTCCCAGACCAGGGCTCAAACCCGTGTCTGCTGCATTAGCAGGCAGATTCTCAACCACTGCGCCACCAGGGAAGCCCTATGTCAGGATTTTTTAATCTGGACATCATAATTCATTGATCCATTTCAAAGCTACAGGTTTACATTTGTAGGTTAAATTTTATGTATTTCTTTGGGGAAAAAGAACCATACCTTTCTTCAGAATCTTAAAGGGATCCATGACACAGAAAAAGTTAAGAACTACTGTTCTGAGGCCTAACCAGAAGTCAGTTATGCACAGACTAAAACTGGAGTCCTCCAGCTTTTATAAAATGTGCTAAGATTCTGAAGTTCTCTGTGACAAGCATATTATAGCTACAGGGAGAGTGGAGTGGGAGTCATAAACAAAGTCTTTTCATTCTTGGTACTTTTCTGTTCACAGCATCAGGTATTATATTCAGTCTGCCAACGACTCATCGTTGTCTGGTTACAGTGTTTAAATACTCCTCACCTGAGAAGGAAGGCCAATAGCATGGTAACAGTGACTTAGACCAGAACAAAGTAATCTTCACCCTCACCTGTTGGATGAAATGCCCTTAAGCCAAATGTAGAGCTTACCAGAGGAAAGTCTCTGTGCTGCAGGAGCAGGTACCATGACACTAGGCTTCTCCGTCTGGTATGTGGCTGCTGCTAAAGTGGTACTCTCAGCATCACTGTTAGTCTGGCCTGTGACTCCAAAGCTGGAGCTGGGGTAGCAAGCCTGGTACTGACTTTGACCAAGGATAGTATAGGTGGGATAGTCCTGTAGGTCAAAGGGAATAAGGGAGGAAAATAAGCCACTTAGCCAGAGCATAACATTAATTTCAACACAAGAGACTTTCATGTCCCTCTTTTTCATAATTATTTCCCTAAAACATTAACCCGACTTCTTATTTACCTAACCTATATAGTCTTCCACCTAAACCAATGATTTTCAAAATGCATTCTGTGGAAACCTAAGAGTCAAGAGGACACGCCTCAGGGACTGTCTTTGGGATGAGGTTAAGGCTGAGAGCAAAGTGTCCCATGCACTGTACACACAATGTCCCTTTTCTACTATACCAGCCTTTTTTTCTTCTACTTTATGTACAGAATTTCTGCATAGAATTTTTGAACGAAAGAGTCTACTCCTTAAGAAGTTTATAAAACACTGCACTAGATGATAGTGCTTTTAAGGACAGAGGAGCTTAAACAAAAAAGTGAATATCCTACATTAAAGTTTCCCAGTTTAAAAACTGAGTATCTCTCTCTCTCTCTCTCTTTAAAAATATTTATTTATTTGGCTGTTCAGGGTCTTAGTTGTGGCATGCGGGATCTTTAGTTGCAGCATGCAGGATCTAGTTCCCTGACCAGGAATCGAACCTGGGGCCCCTGCATTGGGAGCATGGAGTCTTAACCACTGGATCACCAGGGCAGTCCCCTCTCTTTTTTTAAATAATCAAGCTTTCTTTAAAAATAAAGTTTCTTTAAAATATTTGAAGGGAACCTTTGGTAGTTTCACAGGCACATACATGACAAAACTTATCAAATCATACAATTTATATCTGTGTAATTTACTGTATGTCAATTACACCTTAAAAAAGCTGTAAAAAATGGGTATGATGCACAGCTCAAATACACACCTTAAAAAAATTCCACTGATAACTGATATTGGTGACAAGCAGGAAAAAACTAACTGATCAGACCAATTATTTATAAAGAACAGTGAGCATCTACCATAAGCCAAATATAATTCACAGTGTGAGTGTGTGTGTGTATGTGTTGGTACATGGGAGTTAAAAATCTAGCAGGATAGAAGACCAAAACCCATTTCCAACAAATTAGCAATAAACTGTATGTCAAATGAGTAAAATACAGAGGAAGACAACTATCACTGCAGACTGTGACAGAGAACTTTCTGAGACAAAGAAGCACAGGGGATAGGAAAAGGAACAGGCCCTGGAAAGGTTTTATTAAGCGGCCAGAGATGTTGAGTCTGGATGAAACAAAGGATCTCTGTAGGCCTGAATGACTGGTTAAGGATTGGATTGGATTCTTTACGCAGTGGTGCATAGTTTGTGTGGGAGCAGAAAATGGGGATCATCAAATTCAAATAAACAAAAATATGAAAAGATTCTGAGCAGGTGAGTGACAGGATAAAATGTGGCACTTAAAGAAAATTAATCAGTGTTTTAGAAAATGTACAGGCACGGTGAACAATTACAGATGAGATGAAGAGCTAACTCAAGATTAAAGAGGAAAAAGCTAAACCATGGGAAATGACAGCAAAAATGAAAAAGCAGGGATTTCCCTGGCAGTCCAGTGGTTAAGACTCCACGCTTCCACTGTAGGGGGCACAGGTTAGATCCCTGGTCAGGGAACTAAGATTCTATATGCCATGTGACGCAGCCAAAAAAGAAAAAAGAAAAAGAAAAAGCAGGAAAGAATTCCAGAAATGGCTGGATTAGGGCTGGGTAAGGAAAAAAAAAAATCGAAGATGATGACTGAAAAAAAAAAAAAAAAAAAAAAAAAAAAAAATAGTGTAACTGACAAGAATTGAGAAGCTGTAGGAAAAAGTGGTATTACTTTTGGAGGACAGGGAAACGGAAGAAAGGGTGGAATGAAAGGCTGGTTTTAGATATGGTCAACTTAGGGAAATAATAGGATATTAAAAAAAAAAAGCCCATCAATCAGCAGGAAGCCTGTAGATATCATGAGGTCAGGACTAGAATCTTCATTTTGGAAGAAGTAAATGGACATTGTGAATGTGGTTAAACATTCCTGGTGATGAAATAATAAGCATGTGGAAAACTAAATAGAGACTGTCCATGACAGAAGACAGGATATGCAAAGGGAGAGAGATGTTACCCTGAAGAATTCCAGGTACACAGCAGGAACTCAATAAATACCTGTGGGCTAAAAGAATGAACAAATGCAAAAACAGTCAAAACATAAAAAGTGAAACAGAATAGCAATGTTAACTGCAGTCACAAAAAAAGATCCATGGAGGCAGTGGTTGATAATACTAATTGCTGCAGAGAAAACAACAAATAAAAACAGAACAACAAAACCAAAAAAACCCTAAAACACTGAAGATGTTACAAGTGATCTAAACATACAGAGTTAGTAAAATAGTGATCAAGACCAGACTAATTCACAAAGAAATGAGTGGCTAAGTAAAAAAAAGTCAAAGTAATATTTCCACAAACATTTATTATGTGCCTCCAATGTGAGTACTAGGCATTTTTCTGAACTCTCAGAACAAATAACTAAACAAAATAGAAAAATAAATCCCTATCCCCACGGAGCTTACATTCTTGTAGCAGCAGGGTAAGAGACAGACACACACACAGTAGATAAAGGAGCAGATATAATCATATCATTCATAGTCTTGGCAATGGAATGAGAGAAACTGGGTAGTAGCCTGAGAAACCATCCAAGGTTTCAGTCCTGAGGGCATCCAGAAAAAGGTCTCTCCACAGTCCATACTGGTTGTTCCTTAGATTGGCAAACTGATAATGGAAAGAAGAAAGGAAGAGCTAGCTAGATGAACCATATCAACAGGAGGAACAAAAGCAGCACCGTACCTGGTTTGAGATGCTGGACACTGCTGCTGCTGGAATATTGGCAATAGTAGATGAAGTGGATATCAGGCTGGCATTTGTGCTTGAAGCTATAAGATTGAAAGTGTTAAAAGATATTATGTAAACGCCTAAATGAAACTCAAAATATATTCTGTCCTAAGTAAACAGATCTATAAGGAGATAAAAAACATTGGCAAAGGAAATAAATACTATATACTGGTTTTGCTCTTTTGCATGCCATACCTTAATTTAGACTTGATTAGAAATAAAACAGTTCACACATTTTTGTTTCAACTTGAGTCTTCAATTATTCCTACTAAAGTCCTAGAAGGATACAACACAATGCACTGGTTCATACTAATGATACCAGTGAAATCAGAACCTAAACCAAATCACTCCAGTCCATCTTCTCTGGCAGCTGAAAAATAACTCACCTGCAGTGTGACCTACTGACACCAGTAGAAACAACAAGAACTCTGGTAAATCCACGTGTTAAGTCCTACACTGTGATATTTACTGTCACTTGCCCCAAATTATGCCTTTCCTGGTGCAACACAATTACTCTGAGAAATTGATGGAGTTTTCCAAATTCTAAAGTGCTTGGAGTTGCTTCAACAAACACCATGTTCTGGCATTTAATGATTTCACCCATGAGCCTGGAAAAATTCGGAAAATATTCAATATTATTCTGGCCAGGTAAAAATTTACTTCATAAGCTACTTAGGCTGCCTGTCTCACGACAAGAAATTTGGGTTTTTTTCACACCCTTCTATCACAGATTCCACCAGGGTTTTAATAAAATCCTCAGTGACTAGTATTTGTCACAGTGACGTTTTCCAGGTGGACAATGTAGGTGAAATTGTGAGGTACTGCTCTTGAACTCCTCTCTTTTGCTCATCATAAGCATACTTATACATGGTTTCTACCGCAGTCACACACACCATAAAGGCTCACCATCAGGTAAACCACACTATCTGACTACCTATCCCATTGGCGACAAAGTCCTCTAGAGGGAAAGTTATTAGGAAAACCTCCATTAAGAATAGTGCAGGTGGGACTTCCCTGGTGGCACAGTGGTTAAGGAATCCACCTGCCAATGCGGGGGACACGGGTTCGAGCCCTGGTCCGGGAAGATCCCACGTGCCGCAGAGCACCTAAGCCCGTGTGCCACAACTACTGAGCATGTGCTAGAGCCTGTGAGCCACAACTACTGAAGCCCGTGCACCTAGAGCCCGTGCTCTGCAACAAGAGAAGCCACCGCAATGAGAAGCCCGCACACCGCAACGAAGAGTAGTTCCCGCTCAAAACTAGAGAAAAGCCCGCGCACGGCAACGAAGACCCAACGCAGCCAAAAATAAATAAATAAATTTTAAAAAAAAGAAAAAGAATAGTGCAGGTGAACAAATGCGGCAGAAACTTGAGAGGACTGGTCAAAATCATAGGGAATTTGTATCCCTTTCACCAAGGGTACTCTGCTTAGAAGAAAGTCTAGAAGAGATTGAGGTAAATTAGATATAAGGAACAGCTACTGCTAGCTTTCAGAAGAACTTGGGACAAAGAAGAGTTAGAGTAATTTGTCCACAGTCATGGGGTTAAAGGTAGATAGTCAAAATGACAACTGTGATCTCCCAATTCTTCATCCAGTGCTCTTTCTTTCCTGAGTCGGTGGCTGAGCTAGGGATCAGATTTCGTCACTATCCAGGGAGATTTTCTTTTCTACAGTACTCCTTCCCCCAGGTAAACTAAAGGATTCTTGTTTACTTTCTTAAACCCAACACCTAAATGAAACAGATTTTATAATTTATAGATGATATTTTCTTCCCATCAATATTTTTTCCCCTAAGGGGGAAGTCCTAAGAAATCATTGTATGTAAGCTAAATGACTCTACAAGTAGTTTTTAATTATTCTTGTAGGAAAAGAATTTTGAGTACATTCCAGATTCTATTACCAGTACATTATGCTAGGCAGGCCTGCTGGCTAAACATAGGTGATTTAATGTGGGAAAGAAAATGAAGTATTTAATCTCTTAAGTTTATCTCTCCCAGCAAACTCCATTTCTAGATCAATTTTTCTTTAGCCCTAATCCTAACATATATTCCTCTTTTCCTCCCATTTACCTTTAATTCTATTCTACCTTCTTAATGATTTATAAACGGTTACAGGTACAACTCATTCACATCTGATATCTGCACACATGGGGAAAAAGCTGCTCTGACTGACAAGGTAGTTTTATAAATTTAACAATTTTCAGATCACTTACAGAATTGGGCTGGAGGTAAAAAGGTAGACCTTACAAACAACTGGCCACATACTCTTAATTATCCCTGACAGGAAGTTTAATGACTTGATTAGCTAGTTGTTGATACCAAGTTTTTAACAAGTACAGTACTAAAAATCACAAATTCCTCTCAGCAATAGTGGCTTCTATTACAGGAAATGTTGGTCTGCTAACCTAGAAAGTTTACAGGGCTCAATTAACAGTTCTTTCTCCAACTCAATCAAATCATTTCTAACATGTGTTATTCATTCATTCATTTGTTCATTAAACCAGGGTCTACTATGTGCCCAGAAACAGTTCCAGCCACTGAGGAGTAGAGTAGTGAACAAGACGAAGTCCCTGCCCTCATGGCGTTTAAATTCTAGTGATAAAAGTTAGATGATAATTAAAGAAATAGTATTTATTTAGGCTCTTGTGACCAGCATTGAACCCAAGCTAAACTCATTTTAAAATATACACAATCACTACATGCCGTACCCCCTGCAAAACTATGACTAAAAAGCCAGGCACCTCAAAAAAAAAAAAGCAATGATCATCCTACATAAATATACATCTAGGTCTCAACAACAACAAATTCAATTGCAGATTTAAAAAACAAAAGCAGCAGCAATAAAATATGCAACAAAAATAAATTTAGAGGATAAAATAAAACTCAAGTGGTAACTCCTATTGATACATGTATTTTAAAGACTATTAGCTCTCCAGATGCCAATGGCATGGCCAACTGTTTTCCGATAGTTCCCACTCCTGTTTTGCAACAGAGCTGTGAAATCATAGACAAAGCTTCTGAGAACCATGCCCCACTAGAGATCCACCTGAAACAGTCAGGATACAGAGATAGCTTTAATCAGAAGACTGTGGTTATAGAACTGTGAGGCACAGCTGAATTAAGTGACATTGCCCCAAAGCTGGAGGGTAAACCCAAGGGTTAATGGCACATAGAAGTTGGTGCAAGATTTAGTTTCTACCCACCTCTCTAATTTTATGAATGTTTCTCTACCACCCATGCTCACCCAGCTTTCGAGTTACTCAAAACAAGAGAGACTCTTTCTCACTCAAGGACCTTTGCAATGCTGCTCTCCCTGCCTGAATTGTTGTTCTCCCTGGTCTGTCCCTCTTGCCCTCCAGCCTGATCATTCCTTCTCGGCATGTCTACTTCCAGAGAGACTCTCTCTGGACTCCTCTATTAGAACTAATTCCTTTCTTGTTTTCCCAGTCACAACAAACAATTCTTTTTTCCTCTCAGAGCACTTTTCAAAACCTATTTATTTACTTGTTTGTTTTCTGCCTCCCCTCCTAGTCTGTAAGCTCCATGAAGGCAGAATCTTACTACCTTATTCATCACCTCCAACGTCTAGCAAAGCACCCGGCCTACAATAGGTAAAGCTCAATAAATACTCGTGGGATTCATGAATAGCATGTCAAGGTTATCAAAAACAAGCAAAGTGTGAAAAACCGCAGTCAAGAGAATCCTAAGGAGCCATGACAATCAAATGAAATGTGGTGTCCTGGGTGGGATCCTGGAACAGAAAAAGGACATCAGGTAAAAACTAAGGAAATCTAAATAAACCTAGGATTTAATTAATAATAATGTACCAATATTGGTTCATTAATCATAACAAATGTTCCATTCTAATGTGAGATGTTAATAATAGGGGAAACTGTGTGCAGGGTAGGGAGATATATAACTCTCTGTATCATATGCTCAATTTTTCTACAAATCTAAAACTACAATAAAAAATAAAGTCTATTAAAATACAAAACAAATCTCCTAGTCAACGAAAGACTCTTGTGTGTTACCAACACTATCAGAGCCCAAAGACATTCACTGAAATTCAAGGTTGGGTTAAAATCAATTCTGAAATTTCTGAAATTAATTTTGCTACTTGAATTTTAATTATTTAAATCATCTCAATTGAAGAAAATAACCAGAGATTGGGCCACACAGTCACAGACACTCTATGAAAAGGTTGATATAAAGAAGCCAGATCTATTTAATCAAAGGGTTTTCATGAGCATTGAAGTATAAACTAAAGAAAAGGTTTTGGTCAGAGCTGATCAAGCCAGAAGTGGAATTTGCTGTAATTTCCCTAACTTGCCCTGGGAAGATGGGCTACTGTCAATTGTTGAAAGCTTCTGGAGGGGATGAGGGGACACTGCTGTTTTGACCACTTAAAAAAAAAAATCAATACAATGCTCCTTGTTTTTACTCAGTGGAATGACTGGGTAGTTACACAGGGGGGAAGATGAAGCTCTGGAGAGCTGACATTAATTATCTGTGCTAAAGGAAATGAAAAGTGGGGGTGAGGAGAGTGATACTGATTGAGGAGAATCCAGGTGATTCAAATGTGCCAGTAATAACCCATATTTCCTTTTAGCCAATTGTTACCACTTGCTTTCTACCAACTTTTTCTCAGAATAAATGGCAAAAATTGATAACTTGATGCTTAATTTCTGCCTTAATTTCTACCCTTTGCCAAAGTTCTAATGGCAATATAATGGGCCAATAGGTTAACCAGAAAAGGGAAGGGAAATGAATTTAAATACTTGCAAGTATAGGTTCTCAATTATGGGAGTTGATATTGATACCATGACTTCTACATTGAAAATCATAAACATTACACCCGTGTGCTGGGGTCAGGCTGCCCAGCTTACATCCTTGACTTATTTACTGTGTGTCTTATGTGCCAAATCTGTAAAATGAGATTAATGACAGTACTTCCCTCATAGGTGTGTTGTGATTACATGAGTAACACCTATCTCTGCTAAAATAATGCTAAGCACATAATATGCACTTAACAAATACCAACAGTGATCATTATTAGCACAATGGAGGAAACTGAGTTAATTGATCTAAAGGGAAAAAATGTACTAAAAGGTAAGAAATTAGGATAGTGGCAAATGAGGTTGAAAGCACAGCTTCGTGACTTTTTTAAAGCAATGGGTCTTAAAAGACCCCCAAAAGGTGGTTCCTCTTGTTTTACAAAGAGGGAGAAGTAAGCACAGCTATCAGGCTCCTCAAATTCAAGGTACAGGTACAGATGAGTGGTGGTTCTACACCTTGGGAGAGGATTATTAATATAAAGGAAGAGAACTCCTTGCCTTTCTTTCATGACCTAGGTGTAGTCATCAGAGATATATCAGTTTAGGAGGAACTTGGCTACTAGATTTGCCTGTAGTTGGACCCCAAAGCCTACCAAAGTAGAGGAACACTTTATAAAAATGAAAGGGAGTAGAGGAGAAGACAGTCATGCTCGAGTTTTTTTCCTCCTGGTTTGTTCCCATTTTAGAAAGAAAGAAGGGGGAGGGGACAAACATAAAAAGAAGGGAAAATAATTAAGAGGAGACTCCATAAACAATAAGAGAAAAAGGTAGCTCAGAGCAAGGTCTTAGGAATGTAGTAACCAGTTGTTCCCAACAGACTAAGAAAAAGTAGTCCTCAGTCATTTTATTGAAAACAGTTAATACTGAAAATCAAAATATTTTGTTTCATATAATCTACATCAAAACAGTTTTTCATCATCAAAGTTTATATTTTAAGAATACCTAGGACTGGGCTTCCCTGCTGGCGCAGTGGTTGAGAGTCTGCCTGCTGATGCAGGGGACACGGGTTTGTGCCCCGGTCTGGGAAGATCCCACATGCCGCGGAGCGGCTGGGCCCAGTGAGCCATGGCCGCTGAGCCTGCGCGTCCAGAGCCTGTGCTCCGCAACGGGAGAGGCCCGCGTACCACACACACAAAAAAAAGAACACCTAGGACTGGTTTTATAAGGAATAATATTTAAAAGCTGGGAGAAATCAGGAGAAAGGAGGCAGATGAGAAGCCAAGTAGATGGACATTAATTCCCAATTTGGAGCAATGATAAATTCCCTGCATTGGACTTGGAAGGGTAAGGAATTAACTCCACAGTGCCTTTTGAGTTTCTTTGTCTTCATTCCAAATAGTCCTGTCATAATTCTAACCTTTTAGAGGAAGAACTCAGGAAGGCAGAGGTGTTTAGAGTTCAAGCTTTAATGCTATGCTTTCCATCACAAAATAGAAACAACACTGAATTTTTTGAACGAGAAAAGCTCACCAAGAAGTAGTAAATGGGGGTGGAGGTATAACAAAAACCACAGCAGAAAAGCAGCACACATCTCACAAAGCAGCACTCAATCTCACTTTCCATTCTATTTGGACTTCACATAAAAGAAGTCAGCAAAGCTCTAACCCATGGAGTCTTCTGCTCATTTACAGGACAAAATGCCACTGAGAACAGACTAGAACAAAATTAGACAGGTTTTCTGGACACCAACGTGCAAAAGAGGAGTCTTCAATTCTATTAAGCAGTTCACAAAAGCTTAAACTACTTATGAACCACACTCCTAGGTTCTAGTTTGTCTAACACAAAAAGCATGCACAAATGCAAATATCCTATATTACCCAGTATGTTTGGAGATACAGGTAGATTAAAAACAAAAAACAATAATAATTTTTTTAAAAAAACAAAACACACACAACCATGCCTGTTTACCTTGAATGGGATAAGAATAATGTGCTGGGCTTGGCTGGCTTGTGGTTAACCCTGTAGTGCAGGTAAGAACACTGTGTTGACTTGGAGATGGAGTCTGAGTTAAACCACTTTCAGGTTTCATACCTGGCCACAATGCACCTGAATCAGATAAATTGGACCAATTACAAACAAAACACTGGAACTGAGGAGCATGGTTATGCTTTCAAATATCAGCCAGTAGGTTTAAAATCAAAATCTTAAAACAAAAATAAATTTGCTTGTAAGAGAAAATTATTGAATCTCCCACTCGTAATATACCACAAGCAAATACAATTTCAAAGAATTGGGGAATGGGGCCATAGAAACAAAAATCTTGTCAAAAACCCAACAGTGATATGTATGTACGTAAGTTCACTTCAATGGATGGGGAAAATTGATCAGCATTCAGAAAAAGGGCTACTGACACCCTACCATTGTTGTAGAGTGCCTGACATTCCCGTAGAGTGATAAATCATTTATCTGCATTGTCTAGGTAGGAGACATTCCACATACGTTTAAAATTCACTTACCCATTAAACAAGCACCAGATTTTTCTAAAATGTATGTATACTTCTCTGCCTTCTTAAGCTGGTTATTTTGTTACCTTTATTTCTTCTGATTAGGAAAGACATACCTGCTTACTTTTATAAATTAAAAAACATTAACAGAAATATAATTTCTAATTTTTAGAAATAATAAAGTCATATATAATCCCACCATCCAGACTTAACTGCTATTCAGTTTGCATAAGAGTCACTCAGATTTCTTCTGTTTACTAATCTTTTTTTCCTTCTTTTTAATAAAAATGGGATGTTACATGCTGTTCATAATTTGCTTTTCCACATAATACCTGAGACATATCTTTCCCTGTTAGAACATATAATAAGACATCATAGCTATTCAGTTTTATTTTTATCACAATGCTCCTAAGTGACAATCTTTCTAAAAAATATTTATATCCTTTCCTGCCTTCTTAGCAGGGAGGAAATAGTGACCACACCTTTTCTCAGATCTATACTGTGCTGTGCTATGTACATTACAGAAAAATCCCCAGAGGCTACTGCAGTATGTGAAGACATTTGCTTAGTACTAAGTAGAACTCAATTACAGTTCTATGATTTGAACGCTCTTGTATCACTTTGTCTTTTCTCTGTGATCTGTCACTTCTTGACAATCTCCTGTTTCTGGCTGTATCTCCTTTTTCATTTGCAGTAAACTAGGAAACCATAAAAAAAAGCTTGCTTCTACACGACAGCCTAAGGATATCCTTTATGAGTGAAGAGTTTTTGTCATAAATTTTTTTTTTTTTTTTTTTTTTTGGCCACACTGTGCAGCATGTGGGATCTTGGTTCCCCAACTGGGGATCGAACCCATGCCCCCTGCATTGGGAGCACGGAGTCTTAACCACTGGACTGCCAGGGAAGACCCCAAGTTTTTGTCATAATTTTGGCTATGCAAAAGTCTATTAAAAACCTCACTGTAGGGAGAAGATATGGGGATATATGTATAGGTATAGCTGATTCACTTTGTTATAAAGCAGAAACTAACACACCATTGTAAAGCAATTATACTCCAATAAAGATGTTAAAAAACAAAACAAAACAAAAAAACCCTCACTGTGCTCTGAATAGTTATAGCTACTGGATCAATATAGTTGAAGCTGATGATTAGGCCCAAGAAGATTCATCAAACACATTCCAGGTAAGAAATCAATACCAAGGTCAGCCACAGATTCAAATTCAACATTACCTCACTTCATATACTCTTAATCTGATAAGAAATTTATAAATATATAATGCTTTGAGAATAAGGACCTCTGCTTCACCAGGGCCCTCAGATATCTTAGTGTAACTCAGATCTGTAAAATTTGTTGACAAGTAAATGTAAGAATAGTAAAAGGAGATGTTAGGGCTTCCCTGCTGGCGCAGTGGTTGAGAGTCCGCCTGCCGATGCAGGGGACACGGGTTCGTG